CCTTATTTTCTTGGTGTCCTCCGTCCCTTCTGGCTCTTACACTCTTTCTGCCACCCTGAGAGGAAGGATTTGATGGAGGCATCCCATTTAGAACTGAGTATCCCAAGGTCTCTCATTCTCTGAACACTGTTTGTGAATCTCTGTATTTGTTCCCATCTGTTGCAGGAGGAAGCCTCTCCAGTGATGGCTGAGCAAGGCACAGATCTATGGGTACAGCAGAATGTCATTAGGAGTCATTTTATTTCTGTGTTCCTTTAGCAGAAGGGTCGTGTTTAGTTTTCCCCTAGATCTCTGGTCTGTCTAGCCTTAGGTCCTTAGCCATCTGAGTATTGTTGAGGATGGGTTCTCTCTCATGAAATGGGCTTTAAATCCACTGAGGTATTGGATGGTTACCATCACAGCTTTATGCCACTATTGCGCTAGTGAATCTTGCAGGCATGTCATCATTGTAGATCAAAGTGTTTGTAGCTGGGCTATTGGTGTTTACCTTTCACCTTTGTTAGAGTGAAGTACACATTCCAGTACCATAAACACTAGTCAGTAGGGGTAAAGGCTTTAGGTAGACATTTACATACCAAATTCTCTGTGTTCAGCAGAGTTGTGTAGGCATTGTCTTCAGCAATAGGGCCTTACCATCATCAGTTCATAGAGAATAACCAATATTCTTAGCACTAGGCCGGGTTTTTTTTTTTTGTGGATATTCACAGGGCTCATCACTCTATCAGATAAAACCCATTGCTAGTATTGGAAGTTTCATTTGGTGACTAAAGATGTCCAATTAGGGCTCCATCTTCCCCAATTATTTGACGATTTCATTTGGATTAGTTTCACATGTATATGTACTTTAGGAAGCTTCTACTGTATTAAGCTTCCATGTGACCCCTCAATGGCACTTAGTTTTAGCTGTCCCTCCCTGTGTTCTCTCCTCTGCCCCTTCCCCCTCCATCTCCATTTGATTCTTATATTCCAGTCCCCCTACCTTGTTTATCCCTATTTATTCCATTTCCCCTTTATAGGGAGATTCATTCCTCCCACATAGTTCCTTAGTTTATATCTAACTTCTGTGGTTGTATGGATTGTAGCTTGCTTATCTAAGACTTACCAGTTAACATTCACATACAATTTAATGCATACCATATTTTTTTGTAGGTGCAGGTTCCCAAATCAGAATGATTTTCCCAACCCCATCCATTTATTTGCGAATTTCATTTAATTTTTTAAGCTGAGTAATATTCCATTGTTAATTACACATTTTGTTTACACATTTATCAAATGACAGACATCTAGGTTGTTTCCAATTTCTGGTTATTATGGATGAAGCAGCAATAAATATTGTTGAGCAAGTATCTCTGTGGTAAGATGAAGCTTTATTTTGGGTACACATCCAAGACTGGTATAGCTGAATCTTGAGTTTTATCTATTCTCTACTTCCTGATGAACTGTCCCACTGATTTGTAGAGACTGTGTAAAATTGCACTCCCAATGAGTAAGTGTTGCCTTTACCCAGCATGCCTGCCATCATGAGTTTTTGTTTGTTTTATTAATCTTGGACATTCTGACTTGTGGATAAAGAAACCTCAAGACAGTTTTGATCTGTACTTCCCTGGTGACTAAGGATGTTGAACATTTCTTTAAGTGTTTCTTAACCATTCATATATTCTTTTTTGAGAATATTACTTTTAGTTGTGCATCCAATTTTTTAACTGGAATATTTGTATTCCTTTTTTAATTTTTTTTATTTAAATTAGAAACAAGCTTGCTTCACATGTCAATCCTAGCTCCCTTTCCTTCCCCCTTTCCCCCCTCACTCCCCCAACTCCCCATCCAATTCTCACTCGACTCTCCAGGGAGGGTGAGGTCCCTCACTGGGGAATTTCCAAAGTCTGTCATAGGCCCTCCTCCATGTGTCCAGACTGAGAGAGCATCCCTCATTGTGGAATGGGCAGCCAAAGTCCATTTGTATGCCAGAGATAAATACTACCCAAGGCCCCATAGATTACCTAGGCCTCTTCACTGACACCCACATTCATGGGGTCTAGATGAGTCCCATCATGGCCTCTCAGCTATCAGTCTGGGGTCCATGAAATTCCATTTGTTCAGGTCAGCTGTTTCTGTGGGTTTCAACTGCCTGGTCATGAGCCCTTTGCTCATCACTCCTCCCTCTCTTCCAGGAGTTCAATTCAGTGTTTAGCTGTGGGTGTCTGCCTCTGCTTCCATTAGTCACTGGATGAAGACTCATGTTTGTCTTTTTATGACTGGGTTACCTCACTCAGGATGGTTTCTTCCAGTGCCATCCATTTGACTGTAAATTTCAAGATTCCATATTTTTTTCCACTGAGTAGTACTCCATTGTGTAACTGTACCACATTTTCTCTATCCACTCTTCAGTTGAGGGGCATCTAGGTTGCTTCCAGGTTCTGGCTATTACAAATAATGCTACTATGAATATAGTGGAACAGATGTCCTTGTTGTATGAATGCGCATCTTTTGGGTATGTGCCTAAGAGTGGAATTGCTGGGTCTTGTGGTAGACTGATTCTCATTTTCCTGAGGAATCTCCATACTGATTTCCAAAGTTTGCACTCCCACTAGCAGTGGAGGAGTGTTCCCCTCTCTCCACATTCTCCCCAGAAAAACTGTCATTGGTGTTTTTGATTTTAGCCATTCTTATAGGAGTGAGATGGTATCCCAGAGTTGTTTTGACTTGCATTTCCTTAATGGCAAAGGATGTTGAGCACTTTCTTAAGTGTCTCTCAGCCATTTTAGACTCCTCTATTGAGAATTCTCTATTTAGTTCTGTACCCCACTTTTTAATTGGATCCTTTGGTGTTTTGGAGACTTGCTTCTTAAGTTCCTTGTAAAATTTTGAGATCAGTCCTCTGTCAGATGTGGTTTTGAGCTCTTTATATAATTTGGTTATTATCGCCCTATTGGGTGTATAGTTGGCAGAATCTTTTCCTATTCTGTAGGCTGACGTGTTGAATGATGGTGTCCTTTGCCATGCAGAACTTTTCAGTTTCATGAGATCCAAAATATCAATTGCTGATCTTAGTGCCTGTACTAATGGTGTTCTGTTTAAAAAAAGTCTTTCCTTGTGCCAATAAGTTCAAGACTATTCCTTAGTTTCTCTTGTATCAGACTTAGTGTATCCAGCCTTATGTTGAGTTCTTTGATCCAGGTGGAGTGGAGTAGATTTTTGTGCAAAGTGATAAGTATGGATCTTTTTGAATTCTACACACAGATGTCAATTTGACTAACACCATTTGTTAAAGATGCTGGATTTTTTTCAGTGTGCATTTCCTTATAAAAAATCACATGTCCATAGGTGTGTCAATTTATGTCTGAGTCTTCAATTTCTCCCTCCTCTCTGTCTCTCTCCTCACTGTCTCTTTATCTCTCTCTCTCTCTCTCTCTCTCTCTCTCTCTCTCTCTCTCTCTCTGTGTGTGTATTTGGATGAAATGTTCTGTAAATATCTGTTAAGTCCATTTTGTTTGTGACATTGTTTATCATCAGCATTTTTAGATTGTTTAGTTTTTGTCTGGATGAGCTGTCTACTGGTGAGTGTGGAGTATGGAAGTCTCTCACTATCAAATGTAAGAGTCAATATGTAGAGGCCAAGGAAGGAGGAGCTATAGAGCTGGGGTAAGATTGGAGGACAGGAGGGAGAGTGAAGATGGTTTGCTTAATTCCCTGGCCAGTGTAGCTGGTGGGTTTCCAGTGAGTTGGAAGTGAATTTGCATGTTTGTTATTTCTGTTTATAACTTGACTTGCATTTTTAATTAAATTAAACATAGAGAGTATAGTTTTCTGATTCCACCCTGCTTTTGCTCTGCTCTAGTCACAAACCCCAGATGTTGTATGCACTGGAGGAGAGTTCAAATCTGCCAGCTGCCTTTGGTCATAACTCAAAGAGATGATCTCACCAGGTGACAGGTTTCCTTGTGACATTGTGACTATTTTACTGTGGCAGGTCAAACCCATAGAACAAAAGTTAAGAGGATGCTGTCCCTAGTGTTTCTTTCTCTGTTTTCATTTATTATTTGACTGGTGTGAACTTTAAAAGAGTTACATCCACTTGTGAGATATGATGGCCATGTTTCTTTATAATTTAGTTTGGGGAAGTTATAGATCCAATAAATTAATATGTAACATTCTTACAAGTTAGGACTCTCATATAAGAAACGCCCCCCAAAAGAAACAATAAAACCATCATTTCCGATGATGAATGTGTCATTTGTTTTCCTAAGGACACACTGGTGGAACACTGAGTACAGGGCATATTTTGCAAAATTAAGAACAAATTAATTGCATGGATTTCCTGATGACGAAAAATGTTGTTCCTAGTTAAGGTTTGGGATGCTTGGGTTTTGAGTTTTTGTTTGTTTTTGTCAATATTACTTGATCTCTAACTCTAATGCAGTTAAAGATGACTTTGAACTCCTGATCCCCCTACCTATCCCTACTGCTGGGATTATAGGTGTATACTGCCATGTCCAGTCTCATGCCAGGCATATGTTAACATATGTTAAGAGTTTTTTACACCCATGTGTGATTTTCTTTTTGTTTGTTTTTGAAACAGGGTTTGGAAACATAACCTTGGTAGGCCTAGACATTGCTATGTAGATGAAGCTGGCCTCCACCTCATAGAGATCTTCCTACCTCTGCCTCCTGAGTACTCAGATTGAAGGTGTGTGCCTCCACACCTGGTCTCCACAGTCAGAATCTTGACAAGTGTAAGGTGATAAAAATAACCATTTAAATATCATGGTAATGCATAATGTGACTCTGTGTGGTAGCCTATGGGAGAGGTCAGAAGGGATGGGGCTTATGAATGACCTAGATAAAAATTTAAGGCTTAAGTGGGTTTTCTGGCCATGATTTTCAGGATGGAAGAAAAGTCCTGATTGTCTTCAGTTTTCATCTAGAAGGTCCTGCAACCTCTGTGCCTTCAATCCAAGAGAAAGAAAAGATCACCCTTAGTTTCTCTTTGTTCCCTACAGAGAATGAGACTCCCTCTTCAGTTTGGCGACCTGTGGCCCTGACCCTGCTAACCTTGTGTCTGGTGCTTCTCGTCGGCCTGGCAGCCCTGGGCCTTGTGTGTAAGTCTGTGCTTTACCCTGGGGGAGGTTCTTGGTTCCTTGGTTTGTCCAGGAGGAGAAACTCTTGCTATGAGTTTCTTAAAACCCTAACTCTGGAGCCTTGTCCTCTTTCTAAAGGCAGCTGTTTATATGACTAGGAGTTGACGTATTGAAATCCAGCAAGCATTTTCCAGTTAGAAGGAAACATCCTCTTAGATAAGCATTGTATCCGTTTACATGTCAGTATATAAATCCCGCTTTGGACAGCTTGCACCGTTTCTCTCTCTTCTCCCTGCCCCGGTGGTACAGTTCTGGCATCTGCTTTGATTATATGTGTCGCAGTGAACTGGTACAGGGGAAAGTGGTCTCTGTACACATCCCCCCTCTACACAAGGAGCAGAGAAATGTTAAGTCGCTATGTTTGTCAACAAGACTGGGAAATGATACCATTATTTTGAAAAAACACGAAAAGCAAACAAGGAGGATTACACGTGTAAAGCCTTTACATTTCAAAACAGCAGTGGTGTGTTCTTGATCAACTCAGTAAGACAGCACAGCCCCTTCCTGAACTGCTGAAGGTGACCCAGGGAAAAGTCATACAGCAAAGCAGACCAGAGGGCCATATATTGAGTTTCTTTGAAGCAAAAGTTAAAATTTAAGAAGTAAAAGAGTCCTACTACTTCTCTGTACCCCCAAATTTACATCATTCCGATAGAGTGCTATTTTGTAATCACCTTTTTTCCGAGGAAAGTAAAGTAACCCTCATGACTCATGAAAGACTTCTCTAGATTTAGAAAACTGAAGTTCAAACCTGTGTTGAATTTTTTTAAGTTGAGTAACACTAAAGACTTTACTTGTGCTCACAGACCCTAACTATAAATGTTCAAAACTATGGAAATCAGATCAGACCATGTTAATAATGGAATGAACAATGGATTGTGCCATTCTTCCAATAGTCAGTATAGTAAACACTCAACAGATGAGTAGATTTACAGTTTTACATTCGTTTTAACTTGGGCGGTACATAAAATATTTGTTGAGCCGTAAAACAGTTTAGTATCAGACTCTTAACTTTTGAAGTTAAGAACTACTGTTATGACTTCACATTTTCCAACAGAAGTGGACATATAAATATGCCTCAGGTGATGCAATTAACTATGCCATTAGAAATGGTAACGTGAGCTCTCAGCACTAAGACATCAACTGTGTGCTTTATTGCCTTCCCCCATGTGTGGAAAATAGAAACAGGTAAATGAGCTGTGCAGTCTGACCTGATCACATGACTTAGTTTTCCAGTTCTACCAGCTCTCCAATACCCAGCAAGACAGTATCGCTGAACAGGAAGGAAGGCTGGGGAACCTATCCCGACAACTGCAGTCCCTCCAGAGCCAGAACAGGAGACTCGTAGACACTCTACAGAACGTGGCTGTCAAACTGTGTCGTGAACTTTACAACAAAAGTGGAGGTAAGCATGCCCCTGACTCTGGGACCATGGAAATTATTCTATCTGAGCCTGAATGTCCCATCTGGGTAACTGTAACCATGTATTTTTAGGAGCACTTTCCCTGCCATCTCAACAAACACTTTGAGCTACATAATCATGATCAGACATTGGGTTATAATCGCTTACAGACATCTGTGTCCCCATACAGGAAGGGATTCTCCAAATTTCAGCATTTAAAACAAGAAAAGTAGTTAATTTTTAATAACCTAAAGAACACCATCAGCAACTAATACAGAGGTGTGCCTCGATTATGTCGGCATATAAAAATCCAATACAATCAAAGTGTTAGGGATGCTGTAACTACAATTTTCAAATTTTTAAACTCATGTAAGGGTGAGTTTCAAAATTCAGAGAACTTGAAATAAATAACAGTTGTTTTAGTTCACTATGGGTTGTTTGTTAAAAATATGAATCTTACAAAAGAAAACAACAAAGGGTAATTAATGAAAATGACAGTAATGGCCAACCAAGGTTATCACTAATGATAACTGTAAACATCACCTCAGTGCCCCCCACACACCCAGCCATCTCTGTCTTATTCTTCTCCCTTCTTGAAAGTTCCATCCTAGTACATTTTTTTCAAGTCAGCCCTCTCCTCTGCCCTCTCCACTACAAAAGCATAGGCAGCAACCTGCATTTGGCAGTCTTTGTTGCTTCTCTTTCAGAAAATCTGAAGCACCAACCACAGTTTCGTCATCATCCCTCCCCACACCACTTCCCCTTAAGCAGAAAATGAGCGAATGGTTTTCTCAGTAAACAGTGTCTCAAGGTACACTTCTCTAAGAAGTTCCTTTCCACATGACTAGTGACCTCACTTACCCTAATTCTCTCTTTTCTGTTTCTCTGCCAGACCAGTGGACTTTTTTTTTTCCTTTTTAGGATTCTACATTACGAAAAAGATAATCCAGGTATCTGTGACAACAATGGTTCTTGGAATTCTCATCTAGCTTTTTAAAATTTATGCAAATTCACCATATTCAATTTAAATATAAGATGATAGGAATGAATGCTGTGTGAGGCATTCAATATGCTAGAAAGAAAGTCTGGGTCACAGATATAAACTGACTAATATCCTATGTGCCCAAAATCTAGTGAAAATAAACTAACAGAAAATGACCACATATTTTTGAATGATATCATTTCTATGTGTCATAAAACTGACTGACCCAGCTAGGGGTGGTGGCACACACCTTTAATTCCAGTAGTTGGAAGGCAGAGGCAGGAAGATCTCTGTGAGTTGGAGGCCAGCCTGGTCTTCAGAGTGAGTGAGTTACAGGATATCCAGGGCTACACAATGAGACCCTGTCTTAAAAAACAAACAAACAAATGATTGACCTGCCTGAGAGTGATGCCTTGCTGCAAATTCTTGCTATATTGACCATGTTGTAGCTTTGGTCACATGAAGCATTCTACAAAGATAGGGACATGTAGGAGGTGCTCTGCAGGGAACCCCATGGTGAACTTGGGAATTCTATGACCATTATTGTTTCACCAGCACTACATACTGTAAACAAAACATCTGAAAGCAGTACATTTTTATGGGCAGACAGTCATCTAGCTGGTCGAAAGTATGCATTTCCCCTGAAACATGTTTATGTATACGTGCTTGTACATATAGCTTTCCTGTGTGTGCTGTATCCTAGGGAAATTTTTTCTAGCACTTTTTAAAAAATTTTTGTTTTAGATTTAGTTGTTTTATTTTATGTGCATGAGCATTTTGTCTGCATATATGTATATGCACCAGGTGCATGCCTGGTGGTCTTGGGGTGTCAAAAGAGAGTGTTGGATCCTCTGGGACTGGAGTTGCAGGTGGTTCCAGGCCACTGTGAGGGTGCTAAGAATCGAGCCTGGGTCCTCTACATGAGCAGCCAGTGCTGTGAACACTGAACCATCACTCCAGCCCCCTTACTTTTACTTTTCCAGTTGCTTAAGTAATGTTAAACTAATACTAAGTCAGATGAAATAATAAAGGTATCTTTCTGTCTTTAGTTCCATGGTATCACTTCTCGTTTCACACAACACTTTCAGACCTTAGTCCAGTTCCCTTCTACCTGATTATCTCTTCTATGAAATCATTGCTTTCATCCCCACAAATGAGTGAAAACATGTAGTATTTGTCTTTCTGTTCTTGGTTCTTTTCACTTAGCACAATGTTATCTAGTTCTATGAACTTGCATGTAAATAGACATAATTTCCTTATATTGTAATAGCTGAATAGGAACTATTACATATATGTGCTTTATTTTCTTATCCAGTCATCAATTCATGAACAATTTGGCAGAGTCCATTTCTTGACTACTATGGATAGTGCTATAATAACTGCGATAATAAAGATGTGTATTTAACATTATAGTTGCATTTTATTTGGATACATGCATAATGATCTGGCTATCAGATTACATGTTAGTCATAGTTTGGGTTTTTTGAGACATCTCCATATTGTTTTCCTTAGTATCTGTATTAATTTGCATTTTCACCTACATTACATAAGAGTTCTCCTTCATATATTTTCTTTTGAGTATTTGTTATTTTTCAGTTTTTAATTGATTGTCATTCTAACTCACAAGGATTATGTGGTATTCATTGTGGCTTTGGTTTGTACTTTTGTGGTGATTAGTGACAATAGGCAGCTTTTCATGTACTTGTTACAATTGGTATATCTTCCTATATTGTTTACCAATTTTTTATTGGATTATTTGGAGGTTTTATTTTCAGGTACTCCATTCTGAAGGTTATCTTTTCATGCTATTACTTCCTTTGCTATAGAATCACACTCATCTAGTTTTTCTTTTGTGGTTCAGACTTTTAAGTTCAAATCCAAAATCTATCTACAGCAATGTCTTCATATGTCTTTCCTGTGTCTCCTTCTAGTAGAGCCACAGTTCCTGTTTGTACACTTAAGCCCTTGACCCATTTTGAGTTGATTTCCTTATCTGGCAAGAAAGGGTCTAGTTTGTTCTTCATATGGATATCACTTTTCCCAGTACCATCCACTAAACACCCTGCCCATTCACTAGGCTGCATTCTTTGTGCCTTTGTTAAAGCAGAGTTGTCTGTATGCATGTGGTTTGTTTGCTGGATTCTCATTGTGTCCAGTGTGATCCATTTGACTACTCATATTTCACCAGTAGTTTGACACTAAATTGTTCTTAAAATCATGCTGTCCTGGATAGTTTTATGTCAACTTGACACAAGTTAAAGATATCTGAAAGAAGGGAACCAAGTTGAGAAAATTTCAAATTTCTCCATAACATCCATCTGTAATCTTAATTAGTCATTGATGGGAGAGGGCCCAGTCTACGGTGAGTGGTGCCTTCTCTAGGCTGGTGTTTCTGGGTTATGAAAGGAAGCAAGATGAGAAAGCCAGGTAGCAGTATCCCTCCACAGCCTTTACATTAGCTCCTGCCCAGGTTCTTTCCCTTCTTGAGTTCTTGCCCTCATTGTGTTTGATGATGAACTGTTATATGTGACTGAGTGAAATAGACACTTTCCTCCCAAATTTGCTTTCTGGTCATGGTGTTTCATCACCTAAGGTTCATGCTGAGCATGGTAGTACAAGCCTTCAATTCCATCTGCTGAAGCAAGAATATCACAAATTCAAAGTCATACAGGGCTATAAAATGAGTTAAAGGATAGTTGAATCACTTACTAAGTCCCTATCTCAAAATAAACGGTTAGTAAGTATGGTATATGTTTCAGTATGTAGCCTAGAATAAACACAGCCCAAATCTCCAAAACATAATAATGATGCAACCATGGATATGATCAAATGGACCTCCTCTCTCTCTCTCTCTCTCTCTCTCTCTCTCTCTCTCTCTCTCTCTCTCACACACACACACACACACACACCCCAACTTTCCAGGAAGAGTACAAGGAACCTACACTTGAGAATACCCTAAAATAACTTGAATAACTTGAAAAGAGGGAAGACTTGTTTAGCTTCCAGCTTCAAATGTTCCCTCCATCATGGCAACGAAGGCCACTGCAGGGCAGCTTATATCACGCATGTCATTCTTGAAGCAGAGAAAAGGGCATACACAAAGAGTGATATATATGATACAGCCCCAAGAACATGCCCCAGTGACTGATTTATACCTTAGCACCTTTTTTCACTACTTCCTACTAAAGGCATAATATTTGGAACCAATCAAGGAATCAGCCTATCAATGATATCAAAGCCCCCAGGATCCAATCACTTCACCAAAGCTCAAAACTATGCCCCCAGTGCTTAGGAGCCTATGGAAGGAATTTCAAAATCATTGCATAATCATATGAACCACCTTATGATAGAATATTCTTTCCATATTCTGCATGGCATATGCACAGAAGTTTCAGTCATTCATCACCACTCCACATAACCACTTTTAATTCTCACTGAATGTTCAACACCAACTATAGATCATTCCTGGTGTTTAGTGGGTGGATAGCACAGGTGTTCACTCAAATATTTAAGATATTTATATATCATTATTTATTTCCAAAAAAGAAAACACAGAAGATCTGGGTAGAAGATAACTAACAAAAATGTGTTCATTTCCTTTCAAGGACACAGATGTAGCCCTTGCCCAGAAAAATGGAAGTGGCATGGAGACAAGTGCTACCAGTTCTATAAAGAGAGTAAAAGCTGGCAGGGCTGTGAATATTTCTGCCTGACTGACAATGCTACCATGCTGAAGATAAGCACACAGGAAGAGCTGGTAAGTTCCCAAGCCTTGGTATTTCAAGGACTCCCCCAAAAAGAGGTTCTTACCTTATGGTAAGAACACTAAGGAGTCAGGTTTCTGACCCAAAGATTTCCACACTTGATCACAGAGAAGCCCAAGTCATATTCCAATTGCTTCAAATGATCCCTGAAATGGATAAAAGCTGTGTTCTCCCCAATACCTACTGCACAAAAATATGAGAAATGACTCAACTACCCCTTCAGTCAACAAGCAGGTAGAAAATGTCCTATTTACCTGCCTGAGATGATGTAGAAAGAGAATAATATTGGTGCAATCTAAGAAAAGTGATAGTATTATGGCCTGCCTTTCCATTGCAAACATTTAAAAGCTTGTAATTGAAAAATATCCCATCAAATCATTGTAGTAAGCTGGGCATGCACGCGTGCGTAAACACACCACACACACACACACACACACACACACACACACACACACACACACACCGCCTTCCAGAAGGTTGGCCTAGGCAAATACAAGAATAGTTGCAATAGTTGACACAAATTTAGGTGTCTTTGGAATGTCATTGACCAACAGCATAAAAAGAGGCGACAGACCTGGAACTGGGATTTTTGTTTTATTCAGTGCTAGGGATTGAATTCAGGCCTCATGAGTGCAAGGCAGACAACAACCTCTGTGGTCATGTATGTATTTTAGTAAGATACTAACTTAGTAGATTTGTACATTGTTATTTTTTAATTGTTTGATTTTAATTGTTGCTACCTTTTAAGTGACAACTATCCTATTCAGCAACTCCGCAGCTACAAACACCAGCTCTTTTAAAGCTACTAAGGAATCTTATTGAAATATTTGTCCAGCTAAAGAACACAAGAGTCAAAGTTTGAAGTAGAATCCTGCTTCCCAGAGAGACTGAATAGGAAGCAGCTTACCTACCTCACCTCTTAGAGTCAGTCTTCCAAGAAGTCCTTGTGTTTTTTCTCTCTCCTCCTTACAAACCCTTCTCCACCTGGCTCCTCCCTACAATTTCCTGTCAGCTCGTTGCTGACCCAGCCTCCTGACTGCAGGTGAATTTTATTTAATCAAGCACATCTTCACATCATTAAACAAATGTTTCAGAGCATAGACAAAAGTAACATCCCTTAAAATAAAGTTCTACAACAGCACATGGCATATTCAAAGGTCATTGATGTTAGTTTCCCATCCCACGCTTCCTCCTCTACCCTGGCATCCCACCTGCCCCCCACTTAACTCTTCCTGCCCCACTTCTTTCTGTCATGCCACTTGTATTCTTCTCCTTTTTTCTTGAAGCCGCCCATGGTCTCTTCCTAATTTCTTTCCTTCTCTGTGCATCCCAATTTCAGCGCACATTTATAAAGACTCGGAGTTAGCATCCAAGTATGAAATAAAGCACACAATGTTTGTTTCTACATCTGAATATTGGAAAAGGAATTATCATATATTAGCATATGGCTATATGTGTAGGGAAGGTATACATATGTGTATATGAAAATTTACATGTTTTTCTTCTTCCTAGTGTGAGATTCATGTCATCCTTCTAAATCCCCTTTACTTCTTTTTATATTAAAGTATCTCCATAACTGTGTTCTCATTTACAGCAATTGCTTCTCCAGTTTAGTAATAATAAAATTTTCCATAATAATTTCACTTATTTTGTAAATATTTTCCCACTTGTTTTGTTCTATTTTAATTCACTAATCAAGAATAATGGCAATAAAATGTAATGTTTAATTAAGTTATTAAAATTTGATTACTTTTGTAGACAGGGATTGAACACAAAGCTCAATGCAAGCAAGGCAAGTGCTCTACCAACTGAGCCATGTCTCATGCCAACCATTGTTTTAACCGCTGTCTTCGCCTCCCCCCCCCCCCGCCCTGCATCTCTCTCTCTCCCCTTCATTTATTTTTTCAAACAAGGTTGCGCTTTGTATCCATGGCTATCTTGGGGTGGGCTATGTAGAGCGGGCCAGCCTCAAACTCACAAAGCTCCACTTGCCTCTGCTTCCTGAGATTAAAGCAATGTATTACTGCACTTAGTTCCTCTCATATTTTGCATTAACTTTGTGTTTAATCTTAGACCTTAAAAATAATTAGTCAAGTTTTGGTTGGTATGACTCTTGTTTCATAATATCAATGTATATTCTATACTTACTAAGACAAAGCATGTTACATTGATGTGTCCCATATTTACTGGACAAATTTCTGGTGCCTTTCCTCCCCCCCCCCCCTCTCTCTCTGTGTGTGTGTGTGTGTGTGTGTGTGTGTGTTTAATCACCTATGAGGTCTCCATGTTATTCTTCTAGAAGCTGTGCTGATCTTATACATCCCTGTACTCCTGGTTGAAGCATCTTTTCAAAGCTAAAGGTTTTCTTGTGTGCCTTTCACAGGATTTTGGCATGCCTCAGAGCTACTCTGAGTTTTTCTACTCTTATTGGACAGGGCTCTCCCGCAATGGCAGTGGCAAAGCCTGGCTGTGGACAGATGGGACACCCTACTCCTTTGAATTGTAAGCCTTCAGAACATCCTCTGGAAGAGGCATTTCATAAAGACAGATGAGCAGTGCAGTTCAGCAGCAATTATGGACCATCTATTTTTCGTGCTGCATTGTGCACTTGCTAGGGGATGCCCAGAGGTGCTTGAGTTAAAATGGCTTTAAAAAGTGGGGTGAGGAAGAGATAGAGAGGGTTATCACGTATCAGCAGGTGATTTTCTGCCTGATTTCAGCAATGAGTGTCTAGGAGTAGTTTTTCTGAAAAGCAAGGTAATAAGGGGAGAGAGAAGAAAAGGGAGAAAAGATCTCTTTTGTGTGAATAATTAAAACTCTGTTGAGCAGATTCCATTCTCTGTGTGTGGTAGAACAGGACGGAGTGATGTAATCATTTGTGTTTTTAATTAAGTAAACTGAACACTAGAAAAGATAAATAACATTAAATTATCAGAAAAGTCAGAGTGTGTTTCTTCTTTATTTAAGAATGTTTTTTGAAAAAAACAAATGAAACGAACAAAAAAGAATAGTTTTTGTTTTTTTTTTTGAGTGGTAGGTTACTTCTAAGAATGAAATGGTGACTACGGGCTGAAAATTGAATTCATTGACCCATCTCTCCAGGCCAACACATCCTAAAAATATAGAGCATGATCTTTGTCATCTGAGGAATGTTTTCTGTTGTTTCTATTTATGCCACTTTAAAAATAAACTCTAGGAGAGCAAGGAAAGAGATACCTTAATAAAGGGAGTAATTATAAGTTTAATGAGAAATCTGAATCTAGGGAAATCTCCAGGGACCCACAAGGATGACCCCAACTAAGAATCTAAGCAAAAGTGGAGTGGCTACCTTAAATATCCTTCCCCTATAATGAGATTGATGACTACCTTAAATACAATCATAGAGCCTTCATCCAGTAGCTGATAGAAGCAGAGATTCACAGCTAAGCACTGAGCCAAACTCCTGGAATCCAGTTGTAGAGAGGGAGGAGAAAGTGGGAGCTCATGGCCTCCAGTCTGACAGCTGGGGATCCAGCATAAGACCAAACTAGGCCACCTGAATGTGGGTGTCAGTTCGGGCATAGTGAGATATCCATCGCACAGGTACCTGTAGCACTGACCACGCCCATTTTGATGTGGTCACAGGTGCAGACTTGAAAGACGGAGGACTAGGTCTGGGCTACTAGACCCCAGTGCTCTCTCTTGATTCTGGGCGGGTCACTGGGGAGGAGGGCACTGTTTATATCATGGAGATCATGACAGAACACAGAAACCTGGCCAAGTCCTTGTTTTTGTAATCTGTAAGGTTGCAATGGGGCCTCTGGCAGTAGAACCAGTATTTATCCCTAGTACACAAATGGGCTTTGGGAGCCCACTCCCAATGGAGGGATACTCTCTCAGCAGAGATACACAGGGGAGAGCCTAGGTCTTGCCCCAAATGATGTGACAGACTTTGATGATCCCCCATGGGAGGTCTCACCCTCCCTGACGTGTGGGTGGAGGGGGGTGTCAGGGGAATGGGAGGATGAGAAGGAGAGGGAACTGGGATTGGTATGTAAAATAAGATTGTTTTTAATTTAAATAAAAACATTTTTAAAAAAAGAAATAAACTCTGATTAAATTAAATTTTCTTTCTCTTTCTTAAGGTTTGAGATTATAATCGATCCCACCAACCTAAGAAACAGGGACTGTATGACCATCTTCAATGGAAAGGCTTACTCAAAGGACTGCAAAGAGCTGAGGAGGTGTGCCTGTGAGAGGATGGCAGGGAGAGTGGTGCCCGAGGTACTCCAGCAGGTGGCATGAACCACTGGTCAGAGAGGGCGAACACATCAGCTTCAAGCACCAGCAAAAGAACTGGCTCAAATGAGGCCAGCACGAAGGACATTCAAAGCTTTGGGAAACAGAGGCGGCTGCTGAACTGGTACTCTAGAGGTGCTTCTGGTTCTGGTTCACCATCATCCATAGCTGAGTTCCGGGTTCTTGCACATATGTACCTGTCAAAGGATTCTTACTCACGAACCACCAACAAGCCCCAGTAAGCTAGAGAGTTGTCCTCTTTGATTTACAGAAGCCTTTCAGCTGTCTCCCTTCTCAGTGTCTATTTGCACCCTATTTTCCATGTCTTCCTTACACTGGGAAAAGAGAGACACATAAGAAGATGGAGGAGTTGATATGAAGCCACTAACTGTGTGTAGTGATGTCCACACAAGGATTGGTGCCTTCTAACTCTCAACACTTGGAAGGTAAAAGTAAGACATGAAAAGTTTAAGGCCATCTCAGCTATATAGCAAGCTGGAGGCCATCCTAGGCTGTATGAGAATCACTTCTCAAACAGAAAGAAGGAACAAGAGAAAAAAGAAAGAAGAAAGGAGAAAATCAAAGCCAAACATAACAGAAATAAAGAGAAAGTGGAGTCCTTTGTCCTAACAGGAAGTCCAAAAGAAGCTAGTAGATGTTCCACTCCTGTGCTGTTGTCCACACAGCTGATTCTTTTTGTTTCAGTTCACACTTTGCCTTTCCCAGACTCAGCAATGATTTCACCTGCTATGCCAGTGGCACCTTTTCAACTGAGATGGCTCTCATTGTGTTAGTCTCCATTCAATCAATTGTGTCTCTCCCCTAATCATATCTCCTAGGAAAGAGATGGTCTCAACTCTGTCCCTGTACTCCAACAAAGAGACTGAAGTACAGAGAGAAAAATAAGTCCCTTTACATGTCCAGATAATAGTTTGATTTCTTTCTCCATCTCGTTTGAACCATATTTCTACCTTTTAGGTACTGAATATTTAATAATAATAAGTGTGAAGAATGTGAAATGGGTGTGGTTTCAGAATGGATTTGTGATTTGGGGGAAAATCAGCAAGGGAATGTTGACTAGTTGTGCCTTGACAATTGGTGGGGCCACTCTGATGATCTGGTTTATGGAATATTTGAGGATAAGAAAGTGTACAAAGCAAATTGTCTTCAAGAGGATAGTTTTATGATATTCTTAAAGTAAAATGATTGCAGCAAAATCATGATATGGAGGTTGGTATGTTGAGTAACCGAGGTGTAGTAGAACACATTATTTCTAAACAGGCATTGGAGGACAAAAAACTCTTGGCTAGATATGAGTTTCACTGTGTGATGACATTCAAAGCCATACTATGGGTCATTGTGAATAGCACCATGTCAACTGGCTTCATTGGTTATAGATGAACCAGCATTATGCGATTATGGGATTGATAATACCGGTATCATATTTCATACTCTCAGTTTTCCACAGAAAAAAACTAGAAAAGATCTACTTCATTGTGAAATTACATTAAGTTGGACCTTTATGATTAGAACAATTTTGTATTTTCATAAGACTTAATTTGATAATGGTCACTTATCTAAATATTACTGGCAGGCTACTTAAGTTTTCTTTTAGATTTCCTTCTAACAAGCTAGGGGATTTCTTCAAAGATGAACAAATTCTGTGTAGGTTTACTGTGTCAAGCAAACAGAAGTGTACTTATGGTTTTAAAACTTGAGAGGTTTAGGTATCTCTTGGTTTTATTTATTTATTAAGCAAATCACATCACTTCATGTAGCTAATTAAACAGTGGAAATATTTTTAATTTCTCTACGATGTTACTTAAAGTAAGTGTGAAGTTAGTCTCATAATGTAGGTTGTAATAGAAAATGGAAGGGAAATTTAGAAAATATTTAAAATGGGTTAGTGATTCTTATTTAAATATAGGGGAACACAAATACAGCATATGCAGTCATTAAAGATGAAAAATATTCTTAATTATTTTTATTTTTCATAATTAACAAAATGATGACTGTTTGCTCAGTTAAAGCAACTAATACAATAACCTACAAAATAAGAAAGAAAGATCAAGGCCATCATTAAGCAATTGTTGTATAAACTTGCTGCACAAGGAAACAGTAGTCAGCAAATGAAAATCAAAAACTTCATGTACATAATTGGAAACAAACTCACAGCTCTCACTTAAGTTTTGATTCTTGACATTTGGGCTCCTGAAGGGAAGACATCTGCCTCTCTAACTACCTTTGATTGGAAGAGTCGTCTAACTATCCAGAAGTTGAATAGCATTCTCTTTTGCAATCTGAGATCTCAAGCAAAATGTCATTTCAAATGGAAAAGAGAAAAATTCTATTTTTACATTTCTTTTCTTGGTCATATTCTTCATCATTGCCCTTAGTCCCCCTTTCTGTATCCAAGCCTTCTAATACTGGTGACAACATAAACAAACATTCCAAAAGTGGGAGTTATGGTACAATATTTATTGCCTTCACAAGCATTTAAGACGTAAGAATCAGTCATAAAATGAAGTTTGAGGTTAGGTTTGCTGATAATAAGAGATGGAAGCCACATGCACTGGCCTTTTCAGGCAAGAAGGATGAGAAGACATTTTTTTCTAGTCTCTTGCTGTGTTGGTAATTGCAAAGAAAGTGCAGGAAGAGTCAAACAAGGAACATGGCCTTTCCCATAGAGTGAGCTCCCTCGGGTACACAATGAGCTATTTCTTTTCCTGAGGATATTGAACACTCTCAGGACTTATCAGCAGGAAACAGGTCAGGAGGCCTGGTGACAGCAGGAAGTTTGAGAAGGATAATGGTAATTCTCCAGCTTTTACTTGGAGAATACAAACAGATTACACACTAGGTACAAGAGTTGAGTGGTTGTCCTAGGGCCAGCTTTAATGTTTGGGAGTCAAGTGCAGTTTTTCAAATACACACAAAAAATACCGAGTGACTTAAGATAAACAAAACTCACTGTATGGATAGATCTTTAGACTCTAACAACAGATTTATTACTCTACCAGTATTATTATTTCAGTACTGGTGCATTTAGTGTGCAATATTATGAAGCAAAACCTGTTTCCAATTGCAGAGGAATCATCATTTTCTCTTTTTAATAAATTCACTCTGTGAGATGGATTCAAAGTACCTAATTCAACATTGGTAGGATTGGGACATTAAACTGGTCCTCTTATGGCTAATTACCATAAAAAGGACAGATATCCTGGTTCACTAGCAACCTGCACTGAGAACTCTCCCAACCCCTGCATCTGGTAGGTGCAGCATGGCTGCCTGGGGCATTGCAGACTCTTGTAACAACTGCACTGTAGATAAATCTCTGGCTTGTAAATACAACATCGTATGTATACAGGCTGGATAACATCAGCCGGAGGATGTTTGCATTTGGTTTCCTTGTACTTTTTTGAGAAGAATCATCAATGCTTCTCATCCTTTCTCTAAACATAGCCCGATGACAAGCCTTTGAAGAATCTCAGAGACAAACAGTCTTTACTATTAAAAATCACCATTGTTGCTCTGTTTTCCAGATTAGTATATTTAGCTACCAGCTGCCAGCTGTGAAAACCAAACAGCCTATAACTTCCAAGGTCTATGGGGGTATTTATTCTCCCAGGATCAGCAGAAGACTAGAGAAATTTCTATTTCCTGTGTGTGTGTGTGTGTGTGTGTGTGTGTGTGTGTGTGTGTGTGTTGCCACACTTTAAATGTCATGTCAAGGTAAATAAACAAAAACAAGACAAAGACAATCTTCTCCTTGCTACAGTACCATAGCCACTGAGAAATGAAATTCAGGCTAAAGGACACTTAGTTTCAATTTAATAATTTCTGCTGCCTCAGTAGATCAGGTTTTTAAATTATTCATCTAAGTTATGCCATTTTAATAAGGAAAGGATGAAATCTTGGACATCTCAGCATCTTCTTGTTAGAATGGAAATAGATTCCATCACATTGAATTTAGCAACTATTTATTGAGAGCGTGCTATGCAGTAAGGTTTACAGATGGCACATGGTAGACAGGAATGTGATAACAATAATCAGCAAATCTTTCCTTCCTGTAGATTAGATGGCAAGTATTTTCCTTTCAACTTTCCTACCTAAAATATCATTTTCTCTATTTTTCATGTAACATTAGGGTTGCATTCTTAAGCAGTATTTTTTTCTAATTTTTCATTTAAATTAAAACAATCTTATTTTACATATCAATCCCAGTTCCCTCTCCCTTCCATCCTCCCATTCTCCCCACACAATCTCCCCATCCTGCCCCCATCCACTCCTCAGAGAGAGTGAGGCCTCCCATGGGGGATCATCAAAGTCTGTCATATCATTTGGAGCAGTACCTATGTCCTCCCCCTGTATCTAAACTGAGAGAGTATCCCTCCATATGGAATGAACTCCAAAAAGCCAATTCATGCAGTAGAGATAAATACTGGCCCAAGTCCCCCAACTGACACCCACATTCAGGGGACCTAGTTCAGTTTAAGCAGTATTTTTTTAATTTAAATTAGTAACAAGCTTGTTTCAAATGTCAATACCAGCTCTCTCTCCCTCCCCTCCTCCCCCGCCCGCCCCACCAGGCCCCCCAGTCCCCCACTCAATCTCAACTCAGATTTAAGCAATATTTTGAAGTTAATTGTACTGTGATTTTATGGTGGGAAAGTTGAAATGTGAAGACCAGCAGTGGAAAGTGCTAGGTTTGTTAATCTTGGCCTTGCAGACTGTGAGCTGTTTGACCGGTGAGTGGTGGGATGGACGGCCCTACCTACACCCCAGGACATGATGATGCTGATGTCCTGACTATTCCTTCACCTATGTGAAGTTCTAAGGGTTCCTTTCCCAGGAGAACTCCACATCCTAGAAAGCACAGTCCAGCTCTACATATAGAAGAAGCCTTCATTTCTTCTGAGACAGATTAGATAGAGTCAATGACTCTACAGCTTTGGGGCAGAAGTTAAACTCTGTTAAATGTTAATTTTCATTATCATTGTTAAGTGCTATTAAAATTGTAATATATTCGGTTTTATTAAGTATTTATTATGAACAGGCTCTTAATGCCAAGCAACCTCTTTACTAACAACTGGCCAGACCGCCCTTTTGGCAGTCCACAAATTTGGGCACTTCACTCTGAGGACACTCTAGCTCCTGAAGAGAACCACAACCTCATGACTGAAGACAGGGTTCAGTTGTGACTGCTCCAATAGCTGGAACAGCCTATGGAAGGGAGTACTCCTTGGCAAACTGCAGATGCCCAGGACTATCCTGCAGCTATTCACACTCTGGCCAGAGAGGGAGCAATTCCAATCTGTGACCCCAGGGAAAACATGTGAAAGTGTAAAGACGGATATGCACAGTGAATTGTGCAAACACAGCCCTTGAAGGGCTACGTGACTGATGCAGACACCCTCACCACATTCTCTTCTTGTCTAGTAAGTGAGTTCTTTGGTTCAGTTTTTAGCGTCAGCTGGGAGACCCCTGCTCTGACACTCCTGATGTTGCAACATTAGGACCAATAAAAGACTTCCTCAAAGGTCCATGCTTGCCTCCTTTGCTCTTCATCATTAGAAGAGTGGGCTGAGCTGGTAACACAGGAGAAGCTGCAGAAGTACAGGATGGCAGCAAAGGCAGAAGCAGCACCAGGAACAGCTACTGCTGTGGTAGTGACAGTTGTCAGCATCACTGAGGCTGAAGAGATGGTCAAGGAGACAGCTAAAGAATTCTGGAGAGTGGCCGTGGCAGAAAGGATGAGAAGCAGAAGCATAGAGACACCGAGGAATGGTGGACATAGAGACAATAAGAGAAAAGTCAGAAAAGCTGAGTAAAGACACCAGAGAAGAGAAACAGTGGGATCGGGGAATAACCATCCTAGAACTGTCACGCTAGTGGGAGTTGTCCGCTCTTTCTGACTGCTCTCTGTTGCTGCTGCTGAAGGTCAAGATTTCAAAAGCTGCCAAGAGCTGGGGCCAGTAGTAATTAAATCCCAGAACAATAAGCCTCCAGCCTGCACACTCAGATCATAGAGTAATAGACCCAAGGCTCCAAGGCTTAAGAACTGCAAGCCCCTAGAACTCGGCCCTCAGAGGAAGATTACCAGCAGAGGTCCCCATGCAGCTCATTTCTATCTAGAGCCAAAGAAACCGAGACATATGGTTGGTGGTAACACTACAATTTGGAAATCTACCTGTCTCCTACCAGGGTGTGAGCTTATACAATTCCTGGAAGCTGATCTGAAGAAAAATCAATCAGTTGTTAAGTATATGGTAAATGTATTTTAAAAAATCAGGGATTGTTGTACAAACTCCCACATGATGACTAGATTTCTTTGTGTCATGGGTAGTCACTTTGGACTTCCAAACAAACAGGAAATTTTCTCTTCTTCGTTCTCAATGAGTCAGGCCTTCTGTAGTTCTAAATCAATTTTCTCCTTGGTATACTATAGGGCGAGGTCAACTGAAATCTGCAAAACAAGGATAAATATAAAAGCAAGTTTGCCTTCGCGACACACACACCGGTCTCCTCCTGCATTTGCTCTTTGATCCCTTCCAAACCTTCGTGTGCAACAGAGATGGCTTTGAGCTGAATCTTTCAGATGCAGGATCCGAGTGCATTTTTCTCACAGATAAAATATTTCCAGCTGCTGCAGTTATCTGAGAAGAGGGTTTGGTCTTTGAGGTATCCACAGATCTGGCTGTCAGATAACAGTCTCTCTGTTGGCACACTGAAAAAGTAAGTTAGATTTCCAGGTTAGGGGTTACATTTGGAGATAACAGTCATATTTGACAAGGAAATATTCCAGAGATACCATTGGGTTTATTTTAATTTGCTTTGATGTGGCATTCTTCTAGGTTTTATCCTCCTTCAAATAATAGCTATTTAGTTTTAATAAAAATACATTGATATAATTTGAACAAACAGCCTATAAAGAAACCCAAGACATGTTTACATAAATGTAGGTTTTAGCTAGTGTGTTTCTCTTGACTCAGTTCTCGAAATACTAAGGCACCTGATTGTGTCCACCAATCTCCATTCCCATCTGAAAAGCTCAATATAGAAACCGCTCAATAGTTATTATAGTCTCTTGACCAGAAGGCTCTCTCAGCATTGTTATACAAAGAATGCTGTGGATACTTGCATTTGATTGCTCATTTAGGCACTTGAATTATGATAAAAATTTCTAGAGGATGTTGATAGAGGAATTGATGACGAAGATTTAGAAACTGTGCTGGATAGTTTTATGTCAACTTGACAAAAAGCTAAAGTCATCTGAGAAGAGGGAATATCAGTTAAGAAAATACCTCAATAATATCTGGTTGTAGGCATTTTCTTAATTAATGATAGATGGTAGAGGCTTAGCCCATTGTGGATGGTGCCATGCCTGGGCTGGTGGTCCTGGATTCTATAAGAAATCACCTGAGCAAGCCACAAGGAGCAAGCCAGTAAACAGCACCTCCCATGGCTTCTGTATCTGCTCCTGCTTCCAGGTTCCTGCCCTGTTTGTGTTCCTATCCTGATTTCCTTCCATGGCAAGCAGTGATATGGAAGTGTAAGCTAAATAAATTCTTCCCTCACCAACTTTGCTTTTTGGTCAAGGTGTTTCAGTGTTTCTTCGCAGCAATAGAAACAATAAAGCCAAGTCTTAAGTTTATCAGTTATAATTCTAATCAGTAGCCTCTTAAAGCATCATGATTCTGTGTCCTCTACGAGAAAAACAAGGTATAAAGTAAACTTTTAAAATTTTTTTCACATTCCTAGTTTTCCCTAAAATGTCTCCTTCATACACTTACAAGTCAGAGAGAGGAGAAGAACCATCTAGCCAGAACCAAGATCCACTGAGTTCATCTTGATACACTCCCACCCAGTACCCAACTTCTTTGAGCTTCCGCAGGCTACGGATGAGAAAATCCTATAAAAAACAAGACACAAACTGTAAATTCAGAAAAGTAAATAACAACCCAAACTACTGTGCAATATAAAGTGTGATGTTTGCCAAATCAGAAATTAATGAGAACTTGAGTATTGAAAATAAAGAGTAGATATTAAAGTGAAGTAGGGATGCGTTTGCACACACACACACACGATTATTCTGCTGTATAGTGAATATGGTGTGTAGAGACTATGAAAATATGTGCATCTGGTATTAAAGTACGGCAGATAGTAAGTGTTAAAGCAAAGTAAGTCTTAATATTGACCCTTCATCACCAAAAGTAAAAATTTCACTTCCTTCATTCACCATGTGAGTCAATTTCTCCCTAGTATATTTTAATATGTGAAGTTTTGGAGATTCCAGCCCCAACTCACTGTGAGCACATTTTGTTAGATGAAGCATGTCTTATTTTGTCATCAAATCTTTGGAGAGGGTAATTTTTAAATAATTATAATATTGTAATTTAATGTTTGTTTGCTGTGTATTTTTAACATTTCCCATTGTTCTTAAAAAGAAAAACTGAACTTCAGCTATTGACAATTTTTATTAGAATGAGAAACATCTATGAATTCCACTTCAGATATTCTATTTAGGGGTGGAATGGCTTCAGCAAACATTGTATTGCTTATTTATCAAGATCTTAGTAAGCCAGGTTAAGAAACTTAACGTTTAACTTATCTAATGCTTAGTTTTATAAGCCAATTCTTTCCATGACATCACTTCAGGTTTTATTTTTTGTAACTTTTGTTTTTTGAGTCAGGGTTTTGGTACACAGGCCTCAAACTTGAGCTCCTCCTGTCTCAACCTTCCATGTACTGGATTTACATGCATGTGTCATTGGATTTACATGCATGTTGTCACCACATGCAGAGTAGGACTTCAGTTTTCATACCTTTATTTCTCCCTGTGAATTATGAGTGATATAGATGATTCTGTTTCCTGTAGCACTGAACATAATACATTGAAGAACATCCACATCTGGCATGTATATGTACACAGGGAGCAGATCACAGCTTAGTCATCCTTCCCCTCCCCCTTTTTTTTGAGTTGTCTGGGTATAAACAAACAAACAAACCTGTATTCCTCAACTACTGGAAAACCAACCTCATTTTTACTTCTCCAACTGAAGGGAAGCAAATTACATAAATCTCTAGTTGGACTCTATTTTTATATTAAAAATATACTGCTGCTATTAAAAATTAAGGAATCCTATCTTGTAGCATCTGTAGTTCATTTTAATGAGTAGTGTGGAATTTTCAGATTGACATGAAATCATAAAAGAGGCTTTACCATTTCTTCTTTGCTGTCTATTTGAAGGAGACTGGCATCTTCCTTTAAACAATTCTCCTTACTGCCATTCCACATGTTCCAGATTTGAAAGAAATAGTAACAACTTTTTCCATTCTGAATCCAGTTGTGTGGACAAGGGCTGCAGTTACTACCTTCAAAATACAAACATTTCCTTAATTGTCGTCAGTGCAGAAACTGGCATCCCAACTCCCTCAAAATAACCAAATGGCACTTGTAATACAGCACCTACACATCCAGCTTCTTGGAGGTTGGGCACAACAAAATTTGTATAATTTCCATCTGAAATAGCTCCTTGATAATTGGTTTCAGTTAAAAATCAATGTAGATTTTTCTAAATCTTTCCTCCTATATCAGAAATTGGAATATTTTTCCTTGCTGAGTCATTGTCTATGATGAGAAGTAAGCCTTGAGTTGATGTTTTAATTCTGAGACTTAAGGAAGAAAAAATTTCATGTACAAGAGAGATCAATTAATGCATGAAAGTAGTGGCTTGGAAACAAGTAGCTGTGTAAAGAAACACATCTTAGGGCTTCACTATAACTAAGTATTAGGCTTCAGTATTTAATGTGTTGTATAAGGAACATGCCTTAAGAAAGAATATACTCTCAAAGGACAGTCAATGACCTGTACACAGAGGAACTAAACAGCATAAATTTGGTGACAGGTTCTAGCAGAGTCTTATAAAGGGAGACAGGGAAATACATAGAACACTGGTTACTAGAGAGTAGCCCTCATGTGCGGCGAGAAACCCATCAGACGTGGTTTCCAAGACAGAATATTGAGTCCTTTGAGACTCTTCAGTAGCCTGTTTGGAATCAGTGCTAGTCAGCCTGCTGAGTGATATGATAGTCACAGGGGTGGCGAGGTGTTAGTGTTGAAATGGTGTTTGGAAGATTGGAGAACAAGATGACTCCCAGATCTCCAAAACACGTTATCATTGTAGTCAGTGTTGATGGTTTAGAGCGGGGCCCAACTCATGCTTATAATAACCTGTTATATAAGAACACTATTGACACTGGATAACTCTGAAAACAATTTTTGAAGTAAATGTTCAATTAGAAGGAACTATGAAGACTGTAGTGGTGACTCAGCAGTTGAAAACACATATTGTTCTTGCAAAGGATCCAAGTTAGGTTCTCAAAACCTAAGTTGGGTGGCTCACAGCTATCTGTAAATCCAGCTACAGGGGGATCTGGTGTCTTTGGCCTCCTCTGGCACTTGTACTCACTTGTCCATAACCCCACACAGATACCTCCCCACACACATACATACACTTAAAAAATAAATTTTATTTTTCTAAAGAAAAAAATGGTATATTTTTATTTTCACATCAATTCAAATTTCTAATGGCACCCTCTAGAGAGAATTTAACTTCCTAAATAAGTATTAAGACACCTTGGAATATTAGACAAACTGTAAAGCAGGTAGTAATACAATTTTAGGCTTAAAATAGTCATAAAAGATAAAACTGAATTAACTCTATAAGCTTTTAGGAGAAAGAGTCTTTCAAGTTATAATAGTTTTATGATAGTCTGATTTCCAAAGTCAGTTTTTCCCAGGAGCCCTGTAAGAGGAACAGCAATCTTTGGGATTCACAGGATGATGCTAGGATTGGTGGGGAGTATTGGAGAGACAGAGCCCCAAGGACTACATGTCCTGAGGACCTCATGCTGTCATTAGGCATAGCTCTGCTTATTGCCCTCATGACCACCATGCCCCTCATAATCTATGAGTTGTATGAAAACTCTCAGAGGCCTTCTAGCCACTCATTGGGCAGGGTCACTGGTACTTAGAATAATAGTGATTGACTTTTCCAAGCATTACTGCTGGAGCAGATCAATGATTCAATCGTTACACTTAGGAAAAAATATAGACGTGTAGAATTATTAGTAAGGGTAGGTTAAGGTGTTTTTGTTGATGGATTGAGGTCGAAAATCTTGGGGAACAATATAAAATTTAGAAACGCACACTTTTAATAGATGAGCAAGGGACTCATTGAGGTCAAGGAATGAAAACAATGGTAGCCTGGCTGTGGTTGGCTGATGTAGCTTTCTTGCTAGGATGGGTTGACAATCAAAGATGGTGATCAATTCCTTGCACCCATTGCTGCCCTCAGCTTCCTGATATGAATTAATTAAAAAACTGTTGATGAGTGGGCATGCACCCTGGGGTTTTAAAGTGAAAATGATTGATTTTCATACGTAAAAGTTTAAGTTTGCGATACTTTGAAGATTTTTATAATACTGCCTTTTGAGGTAAATAATAAAATGATTGATCCTTTATTAATAACTGCAAAATGCAGCCTGCAAGTGAAAGAACTGGTGGAGAAAAATACCTCACTTGCTTACCCTTTGTTTATCTATAACAAGTTGCTTAGAAACGAATGTACGTGGATTGTTCAAAATAATTTTTTACCTGTAATATGTAAAATGTTTAATCAAGTAAGGGAACGAAGAAACATACTGTTTTTTACTTGTATACATAGTAATCATTAACTTGGAAAATAGAATATAACCACATTGCAATCTTTATATTGTTTGGAAGATTTTTCTGGGCGTTATAAGCTGTAACAGAAAAATAAAGATAGAAGGAAGACATCAAGAGAGAGACAGGAGGGGATATATCAGAAAAGAAGTAAGGAAAGAAATAAGGAAGGTAGAAAAACCTTGAAGTGTGTGTGTGTGTGTGTGTGTGTGTGTGTTTCTTTTTTTGCTAATCTCAGAGAATTAAGTCTTTATCCCTCAGATAAAAAGTTCATTGAGTGATTAGCTCACCAACTAGTCACCTCCCCTTCAGTTGCTGAACTGCTGAAAGCCTGTTTTTACAACAGCAAACTTTTATGCTTAGTTATCTATAACTGAGTCTAAAGCAAGAGTCAAATTAGATGAATTGGGATGTTTGGAGCTAAAATTGAAAATAGGCCTAGATTTGAGTGACTGAGTGACTGAGTTGATTCTAAAAGCCTAGCTTAGGAATCACATACATTCCACTTGATTTTGCTTTGTAAGATTTGGTTAGCTGAACTTTTAAGGAATTTCAGTCTTTTCAACAATTCATTGGGAGATGTAGAAGAAGCTGAACCAACTGCAGAGCCACAAAAGTTACATCAGACTTGTCAGCTGTGCAGGGACAGAGAGAGCTCAGTGCTGTGACTCTCAGCAACACAGAGCATTCAGATAGTCCTTCAGGGACAGGAACTCTGGAAAAACTGGGATTCTTTTTTTTTTTTTCTTTTTTTTTGGAACAGAGAGACAGTTTGAAACAGAGGAGGAAATCATGAAAGATATTTTAATATAGAATTTAGTAAGCATGAGGGTTAGGTGAAAGAGAGGCACTAAGAAAAAAAGTAAGAGCCACCTGAAAGCATGGGTGTGGACTTCCCTAAGGCTGAGCTGCCAAAGCTAAGACACACCCAAGTAAGGGTTCGGCTCCTCAAAGAGAGCTACAAGCAGTTGTCCTTAGGCCTGTGGGCAGTTCTGCTGACTCTAGAATTACCGCCCAAAATGTTTCTGAGAAATCTTTGCATTTTGATAAGTGAGACTATCAGGCAGCTCTGGAGATGCCTTAGGTGGAATTGCAATCTTATCAGGTAAAACCAGGAGCTACTAGGGCTGCACAGGTGTTCAGTACCTGTCCTTTCCCTGCAAGAAGATTTCTATCTGGTTCCTAGAAAATTGCAGGTTTACAGCTGAAGGGAGAAAAGTGGCAGTTAATGGCCCTGGAATCTCGATTTCCTGTGGTTGAGAAGTTATAACCAGATTCCTGGGTAAGGACCCCTTCTCCCCTTCACATCCTAATTATTTGCAATCTTTCGCACCTGTCTCGGCACTCGATTCACACCCTAGTGATCTATAAGGAACAGGCTACACAAAATTGTTTCTTTTGAGTAGATGCTGCACTTTGGGTTTCCACTGAGATCACTTATTCTTAGCTGAGCATGATGTCTCATGTCTGGGATCCCAGCACTTAGGAGGCTGAAGCAACAGAGTCACCACAAGTTGGAAGCCAGCCATCATGAGTTCTGGCCACCCTAGGCTATATGACAAACAATGCAGAACTACACTGATTCTCTGTCAATTACCTGAACGAGGACATCTCTGTTGAAAGGCTTGGCAGTTTTTCATCTGCAGGGTGTAGTTTCTCTGCCACTGTGTGAGGTTCAGCAATTGTCTGTTCTGCTGAATGAGTCTTTCCTGCTGATTCATTGCAAGAGAGGACACCTGGAAGACTGTGACAATGCCATACATTCCTCATAAAATACTGACATTTTACAATAAAGTGATCCCCCAATGCAGATCAAAGAAAACGATCAGTGAGGATAAGTGCATGGCTTGCCTGGCTTGGGGTTTTGTTTAAAATTCAAATTATTCAAGAATCAAGTATTACAAATAGCACACAAACAAAACAAACAATGACATCCAAACATCTTGGCCATTCCTTTCCTTTGTTCACCCGGTCTCACTCTCCAAGAGCAGATAAAATTGTTAAGTTCTTTAACACATTTCCCCCAGATATTTTAGTTAAAATAAGATCAATCAATATAAAATTCCTGTTCAACCTTTTATGCAAAGGGTGACAGCCTGTTTACATGGGGGTGAACATTTGATTTTATTAAGTATATTTTAGCATTTGTTCCTTTAAGTACTCCAAAAGTTCTCACTCGTTGGCTCACTATAGCAGGGTAGGAAGTTCTTCATCAATCCTCTGGCACAATTTTAAAGATTAACTAAGAAACTGATATGTTTGTTTTGTAGGACTGGGATTGAACCTGGGGGTCTCATGCATATTGGACAAGACCTCTATGGCTTTATTCTCAAATGACTCCTCCTCACAAGGAGGAAAATGCTACTTAAAGAATCTTAGTCATGGGGCTGGGGAGATACCTCAGTTAATACAAAATGCTTGTTTTGCTAGCATAAGGACCTGCATCCCCTGAAATTCCCACAAAGCTGGGTGTGGTAGCGCACACTTTTAATCTCAACACTAGGGAGATGGAGACAACTGGATCTCTGGAAATGCCTGGCTGCCTAGCATACTCTACTTGGCTGTAGGCCAAAAACAGACTGTGTCGCAATAAAAAGAAATGTACAGGGCTCCTGAGGAATGATACCCAAGGTTGTTGTTCACTGTTCTACACACTCACAGCCATGAGCATACACACACACACACACACACACACACACACACACACACACACACACACAGAGAGAGAGAGAGAGAGAGAGAGAAGCACACATACAAATCCATACATATTAAAAAATATGAGTCTTGCCTCATTTCACACATTTGCAAACTATTTTTAAAATGAGTGGCTAGATCAAATGTTCATGGACACTTAAATTTCATTCAGTATTTCTAAGTTACCCTCCATATATACCGTTTCATACAGTGTTTCAAAGTTACCTGCATTTGTCTTCACAGATGTAAACAGTTGGATGTATTTTCTTATCTGTGAAATGTGTGGTTATAGCCTTTGTGAATACCACACCCATACCCTCATTGGCTGCCTTCCTAGTACTTTCCCTTGCTTTCTTGTGCTGTGGTAACTAACTAGCAAACCTGGAATCAGGCTGAGCAGTGTGTCTCAAGTTCACATGATGATAACCTTCAGACAAGACATGATGCCATCTGGCTAATGGTGCAGCTTGTAACTGTGGGTCTGATTATTGATGACAGCATGATAGATGATTTGCCTTTGGTTTTAATGAGACCCTAAGAGAGAGGCCTTCTGCTGAGGCAGGTTGCCTAGTCTCAGCAAAATTCTGTCTTTAGGATCAGCAAAACATAAAAATCTCCAAATAAGACTCTGGGCCTCCTTGACACACAGTATCCTGGGCAAACACCGGTGATTCCTGAACCAACAGAAAACTGTGAAACAGTAGAAAGAGAGCCAGGGAAATGTACCTGCTTTCTGGCCCCAGACACCCACCACTCCTCCCCCCCCCCCTTTTTTTGTCTTGAAAAAGCATCTCATGTCTCCCATGCTGACCTCAAACTCACCATGTAGCCAAGGATGACCTTACACTCCTGTTCCTCCCGCCTCCTCCTCCCATTTGGTGGGAGCACAGGCCTAGGTCACTGCTACTCTTAGCTCTATCCAGGATCCTTCTAATAAGAAGTTTTACTGGCAATAATATCCTTACTTCTGTGTACTCTTATCACGTAAACAACTAAATTTCTTTTAAAGTTCTTGATAAACTAAAACGTCAAGGCCTGTTGTTTTGGTACTGTGAGTCTCTGTTAGCAACCAGCCCTGTGCCTAGAGATATTTGTTGGCATATCACATGCTTCAAAGATGGATTTTGATAAGCTATAAACTGCTATGTACGTTTCATAGTTTGTCATTTGGCTTTATTTATGGTGATTTACTTATGTAGCTGAAATTTTTTTAGTCTTTTTTTTTACACACTGCCATTTTTTATTTTAGGTTGTATGTTCTGTATATAAGACTAAATAGGCTGTGTTGTGGTGTATAATTTAAGTTGGAAGAAACAGTGGGGTTGTTAACAAATATGCTAGTTTGGATCTGGTAAGTACCATTAATTTAAAAAGTATATATAACCATCATTATGCTAACATCCCTGGCAATTTTAGTTTTACATGTGAAACTGTAATCTCATATCTATTGATATATTTACACTTTGACATATTTAAGATTAATGTCATTGGAACTATGAGGTATGAAGTCAACATTTCCTAGATAACTGTGTAGTTTTCCTGTCATTTCAGAGCAATTCCCACACATACTCTTTCAGATGCCATTTTTAACTCACAGTAAACATGTGAGGAACTGACAAAGGGGAGGGCGTGGTGGAACAGAATGTATCACATCATTTAGCCAGGAAGCAAGGAGAGTGCTGACACCGGAGGCCTGGCCCTTCCCCCATCAGGGCATCGAGGCTAGGAGATATTGCCTCCCACATAGAGGGCTTCCAATTACTTAAACCTCTTTGGAAACACTTCACTGTTTTCAATCTAACCAAGTGAGCAGGATTAAACATTACAACACATAGCTTAGTCTGTTTTGTGTATCTGTCTTTTACTTGGGTTTCTGTGTTTTGCTATCATTTCAAACTTAAAAAAATAAGGTTTCTGTTTCTTCTGCTTTATCTTTTAATTCACCAGATTTTTGTTCATGGTGGTTTTCAGTGTTAGGTACAGAACCCAGGGCCTTGCACTCAGCAGGCAAGATCTCTACCACTCAGCTGAATCCCAGCCCTTCACTTATTTTTCATTTAGGTGGATACATTAAACACATGGGTGTGGGGAGGGCAGGTCATTGCTGCTGCAGTTGTTAAAACACACAAAAAATAACTGCCTCTCGTCTCTATGATTGAATGAAAGAATCTGATTCATTTTCATGCCTACATTCATGTAATAAATCACCTCTGCAATTGAGATAATGAATTTTATTTTGAAGCAGCCAAAGTTTCATATATAGCTAGGAGAAATAATAGATTCCATCAGCTCTTAGCCCAATTTCCACCCCATGGTGCTATCTTGAAAACCGATAGTATCACAACTAGGATATCAACATTGATACCACCACGCCCCTGTATTTCCACGGGCTATACCACTGTACAATCCAAATAGAGATGACGAGTGACTCAGCTTCTCAGACCTATCCAACATGTGATGTCACTGGTTTGTAATTTCTGCTTTCTGGGGTGTAGTGTGTCCCACTGTGGTTTTAGCTTGTTTTCCCTAATGGCTAATGATATTGACCCCTATGTTTACGTTGGCTTTAACCTTCCTTAAATTCTATGGAGAAATGTGTTGTCATGTTGTTCTTCCATCTTATCACTGAACGGCTTGGTTTCTTGTTGAGTTCTGAAAGCTTTACCGACTCTAGGTGCAAGTATTTCATTGGGTATCTGGTTCGCAAGTACTTTCTTTTTCTGCCTTATGTGTCCAGCCATTTTAAGGTTGCATCAGAAGGTAATAAGACAGGAGAAAGGGAAATGAGACTTCTCCTTGGAGTTTCATCCTATGTAGGAAGCAAAAGCTTGCTCTTTTTTTTTTTGGTGTTTGAATTGTAATTAATTTGTAATAAGTTATCAATAATGACAGAACAATGTCATTTCCTGAGGAAATGAAACAAAATACTTCTAAATGTCCCAAATAAGGTTATATGTGCTACACATTGTACCTAAATGATGAGCTTGAAAAATGAATAGAAAAGACACAAGGAAAACTGATATCTCTGGAAATATTTTCACTATAACCAGAAACACAAAAGGGTGAGGGGAAAATTACAAGTCTATATACCTTGCAAATGACCACTCAAGCAGTGCTGGTTAATTAAGGCTATATTTGTTGAAAGCCTGTATATACATATGCAGAGTGCATATGCATATATAAATCTAATTTGCATATTATTTTTAGAAAACTATATGTCTCTGTGGATAGCTTATTAACTTTCTGTATGGTGATATATCACTTATATTATTTAAAGCTTGCCTGAGGATTGAGAAAGCAAAGCCAGCTACAGAGGTCAGGCAATAGTGATAACACAGCCTTAATCCTGGCAGTCACAGAGCTAGACAGTGATGATACACACCTTTAATCCCAGGACTCTGGATTAAGAGGTAGACAGATCTCTGTTAGTTCAAGGCCACACTGACTACACGAAATTGATCCAGTCCCAAAAGAAACATCTCACACAAAGGTGATCTCAACACATGGGATCATATGTCTTTAATTCCAGCATTAGGGAGTTATATAAGACATGAGCAGGGACTCAGAACTAGCATTTAGTCTGAGAGTTAGTCTCTAGCCATGTTGAGGAGAGCATAGTAGCCTGAGTGAACCTGAGGAGCAGTGAAATCAGGAGCAGTTTGAGGATTACCCCTTTGGTCTGAACATAGGTAGAGGTAAAAGCTAGTAGTGGCCAGCTGCTTTGCTTTTCTGATCTTGAGCTTGAAGCTTGAACCCCAATATCTGTCTCTGGGTCCTTTATCGTGTTACTCTTCTGCTTTAGTGAGAAACATAACATAACTACATCTCTACATCCTTACAGGTGATTCTAGACAATTTTTAAAATTAATTAACTACATTCTTTTAGGGGATTAATTTTACCACATTCTTCTGTCTCGCTGTGTGAACTTCCTCTTAATATAATTCAAGTACCTTTATCACATTTATGTGCACTTAAATAGTTCTTAATTGATCTTTATCCGTTTACACATATGGACATTATCCGTAACCCATCACCCATTTATGTAAACAGGTCACTTTGAAGATATGTTATTGTACTTACACTTGATGCCTAAGAAAATGGATGTTGCTAATAAACCCACACAGAGCACACAGGAAGCCACCGTCACAACACACCATGTTCCTAAATGTGGAATCAGAACAGTGACATGAGTTAGAGGAAGCAGTCAAAGATAATGTTGGGATAAGTGGAAGAAGGATTGGCCCCTCCTATTCGAGAAATACAAAGATTTGAAACTTTAATAGGAAAATGAGAATCTTTGCTTAAATTCTCTCAGATTAAATTTATAGCTTGGGATCCACCTGACCTGGAAAATACCCAGTTCAATAGACTTTATACCATATCTCTGTCATCCTAATGTATAATGTTATGACTTTAATAAACAATTACATCAATTTACCTACCTATCTATATGTCTATTTTTTCAATAATCTTAATAATGCCATCTAGGCAACCTTGAATTCTTAACTTCAAGACTCTCCTATCTGTTTTCAGAATCTCTTGAACATAATTCACCAAATTATTTTTATTTTAATAATCAATTTAGAAAATGGGCAGAAAAGGGGAAAAGTGAGTGATGCGGCTTATTAAATTATTCACACTAATCAAAGAAAAATAAAATGTATCCTCATATATTGTGATAGGCCAGATAATGCTTTGAAATGTGACAAAAGAAATTCTGAAGCCAGTACTACACTGGAGATCTGCCATGTGAAAGGTAGCCTCAGGTGGTAAATTTGTAACAAGTCAGTACTAAAGACTAAACCATGTAAATTACTTGGGAAAATATAATAAAACACTTTTAAAGCCCACCCAATTATTCGTTGTATGATACTACATGTGACATCTAGTTGATGAGTCATCAAAGAAATGCATAGAAATGGATAAACATTTATCTATTTGAAATATTTTGTACTGTAGAGTTTTAAAAATAAAGATTATTATAAGATGTAGAAACAGGGATAAAATATTGAAATCATAGCTGCATCAGCATGAATATCTTTTTCCAGTTTTTAAACTTTTTCCTCAATCTCTTAGTATTTGTCAGATAATTTGCTGAGCATTTGATTCAAAAGCTAAAGTAATTACAGTTGTATGATTTCTTTGATCCCTTTTCAAATTTGGGAGAGAGAATATATTACATTTTCAGAGCCCAGTACCCTTTTCTTTTTCACCTTTACTCCCTCATCTATGCCAGAGACTTTATCAGGCATACTAGAATACTATTAAGAGGTTATCTCAGATTATAAGAAACACCTTGGGTTCATCGCAGAGCACAAACAGAAAAAAAATCTAATTTTCTATTAAGCATTTTGAATTTATTACCTGAACATTTGCTAGGAGACAGACATTTCTGAGAGCCCTCTGTGGTTGGACTGTCCCATTGAAGAGAGCAGTATATTTCTTCCTGGTGCATGCTGAAGGTGCTTGGAGAGGTAAAGCAGCCTACATAGGAGCCTGACAGAAATAGCTGCTCTCGTGATTAGGAATATGTTGATACAAAAATAATGGAACTGACTATGCTTTCGAAGCTGTAAAATGCACTGGGGATTAAGGTGCAGGGTAGGGGCATCATCATCCCGAAAGTGGAACTATTAAAGCTTGAATTTAAACATAACTCAATAAAGGAAGAAATGAGAATGTACTGAACTCATAATGGCTGTGATTAAGGTTTACTGTTGCTCTGATTCCCATATGGTAGCAGACGCTGAAGATGAGGTACACAGGATGAGCTTCCATCTGGTGTAGGGCATGAAGCACTAAGATGAGTCAGGGGACAAAGATAAAGGCAGTCCAATCTAGGCAAACCAAGTTGTACATAGCATTTGGATTTTCAAACAAGAAATCTTGGAAAGGATTTCACCCCTAAATTCATTTTTAACCAGTCTATTGGTTAGGATAATACTGACTGCAAAGACAGGTAAACTTCAAAGTACCAGTCAGTGCTGTAAATGTTTAGATATCCTTCATTGTTTGTCCCCAAGGATCGTGGTTGACAGAGAGTTTTCTCCCAAAGGAGGCCTGGGTTATTTCCATCTTCAGGGATATTGGAGTCAAGGGAAAGGGAAAGAGAAGGTGAAAAACACACGTTTGTGATGAGGGAATGTCCTTCTGTATGCGTGTTTCACTTATTGGTTGATGAGTAAAATACTGATTGGCCAGTAGCCAGGCAGGAAGTGTAGATGGGGCTACCAGACAAGGAGAGTTCTAGGGAGAGGAGGCAGAGAGAAGCCGTGAGGGAGATGCCATGCTGCTGAAAGAGTAATGTGCCAGATTATGGGTAAACCACAGCCTCATGGCAATACACAGTTTAATACAAATGGGTTAATAATTAAGAGAGAGGTAGCCAATAAGAAGCCTAAGCCATCTGCCAGACAGTTTACAATTAATAAAAGTCTCTGTGTGTTTACTTGGAAGGAAAGCAGCTGTAGGACCAGACGAGACAGAAACCTCCATCTTCACATTTGTTTCTTGAAAGCCATAACCAAGAAGTGATATGAATCACAGCCTCCCCTATCAATTGCATTTCTGTATTGGTCATAAAGATTGGCTTTGCCTGGGCATCAGCATGCAAAGGTAACTTTATTCTTGGAGGAGGAATGAATTATTTAGTGGACAGATGGCCATTTTCATCACATCCTGTGACTACAGCATTGGTACTGAGAAATTTGATCTCATAGACATCATTTATCTCTAGGCCACTTGTCCTTATGTTCAAAGGTCACTTGTCAGTGATTTATAGTTCATATTACTTACAAAATTGCATCTTCTTTTTTTAAATTTTAGAGTCTCAGTGGATCAATAGTTCTTTATCACACATGGCACACTCAAGAAGTAATGCAAGGGAACTCACTAACAGGATTATAGTTTGGGAAAAGAGGGTGTGGTAAGACATGCACGGCAGACACTGGGGCTTTGTGACCTGCCTCACTAGAGCTAAGGGCTAGGATGCAGAGCATCAGGCCTCACTCACCAAACCAAGAAGAAGAGTGGATCTGAATTATATGTCTGACGTTCCCCTATGCCTCTTAGAAGCTGAGGTTGCCCAAAAAATACACTCAATGAGTTTAGTTTCCTGAGATACAAGGGGTAACTGGTGGGGGACTTTAGGGACAAATGAAAAGGGTCCAGCACATTCTGCCAACATTTTCTGGGCTGGGCTCTGAAAACATAATGACTGAACTCCAGATAAACCTTTGCATGTGCTAAGTTCCACCAGACAAGAAAAGAGGAAGAAACCACCACAACAAATAATACCGCAACTAACCCCGAGCCAGAGCTCCATAGGCAGCTTTCTCATTTCTAGTTTCTCTTCTCGTTTCGTCGGCACTGACACCCACTCCTGATAAATCTTTACAAGTCCTTGGTTTCTCCCAACAAAAGATCCATGTGCTGCTTGTACTGCTGACGCTTTTGTTTGTTTGTTTTAGATAATATTTGTGTTTATCATCCATCGAATGCCTGACAAGTATTTTAAAACCCGATCACAGGAGCTACTTCCTCACTACAGTTCTGTGAAACAGGAGGAAAAGCTAGCTGTAAGTTAGGACTCAAAGAAGTCAGTTCACTTAGCGACTTCAATGCTGAGTGTTTGAATTGAAATGATGGAATGCTCTGATTGTAGGATCTGGGCTGTTTTCATGTTAAGATATACTTTAGGCACGACTACTAGGAAGAAGAGACTTTGTAGACACAGTGTGATTAGTTTCACCTTCTATGTATGTTTAGAAGGGCATTAAATATATTGCCTCTGTTAGCATCTAGGCATACCTGGCCCACCCCCGGAGACCTGATAGAGTCTGTCACCTCTGTGGGCATGCTCAGTACGCAGGCAGTGCACATGTGCTATGCCCCTCCCTTTAAACAGACATAACCCTGTTTCTTCTCCCTCTTCTTCTTCCTCTTCCTCTTCCCAGCCCATGTGTCTCTGCCTCTAAGTCTCTGCCTCTCTCTCTCTCTTTACCTCTCTCTCTGTCTCTGTCTCAGTCTGTCTCTCTGTCTGTCTGTCTGTCTATCTCTCTCTCTCTCTCTGTCTCACTCTCTCTCTCTCTCTCTCTCTCTCTCTCTCTCTCTCTCTCTCTCTCTCGGGGTATGAGGCAGCTCTGCACTGTCATTCTCTCCCTTCTGCCCCCACCCTCCCAATAAACACTTCATGTCTGCATGGCTTGTCTAATCTGTCATTCATAGTGGGGCCTCTTGATTCCCACCTGCCAAGGTGCCTCTTAGGTCATATCATAACACCTTCTAAACCTGTTTATGCTATAGTAATATACAAGTATGTCATTTCCCTCCCTTGCTCATGTATTCCCTCTTCCCTCTCTTTGACTGGATTCCCATAGCTCAGCTTGGTGCTTGGCTGTGAATCTCTGTGCCTGGTTCCATCAATTGCTGGATGAAAGCTCTATGATGATAGTTGGAGTATTCACCAATCTGATTACAGGGGGAGGCCAGTTCAGGCATCCTCTCCACTATCGCTGTGAGTCTTAGCTTGGGTCATCCTTGTGGATTCTTGGGAATTTTCCAAGATCATGATGGCGAAATCTACAGAGACTGCTGAACCAAGTTCATGGAAACTCATGAATTATGGACCTACAACTATGAAACCTCTATGTAACCAAACTAGGTCCTCTGTATGTGGGAAACGGTTGTGAAGCTTGGGTTATCTGAGGGGGTCCCTGGAAGTAAGACAAGGATCTATTCCTGATACATGAGCTAGCTTGTTGGAATCTATTCCCTATGAGGGAAAGCCATGATCAGCCTTAACCCAAAGGGAGGAGATTGGTCCTGCCCCAACGTAATGTGCCAGACTTTGTGGACTCCTTACCTGTTGGGAGGATTGATGGGGAGTTGGTCTGGGGATGGGAGAGGAGGGGTGGGGAGGGAGAACTCCAGTTGGAATGTAAAATGAAATTGAAAATAAATAAATAATATAAAAAATAAATATGTCCTTTCACATGCTGAAGAGATGAAAAAACTCTAAAGTCCAGGTATAGGGTTAATGTTTGGACAGTTTCTGAATTATTAGTTCCTACTTGGTTTCTGCAAAAGACAGTTACATACAAGAAGTTCAGCCCTGAATTCCCAGCTCCAGAGAAAAAGAGAAAAAGCCAAGACTTTTCTTCTTTTGAGACCAAGATCTTGGCATTTGCAATCAAGAGACTGAAGAAGTACTCTTGTTTGTCTGTAGCTCCAAACTGTATTCCTTTACGGAGAGTCTAAAATAAACCAAGGTGCAGATTTGCACATCAGTGCACAGAGCTGTGAAACTAACACTTATTTTGTGAACATCAAATGCTTGATGCTCTGACCATTATTTTACATAATTACATCAAAGTTCATTGTAATTCTCTTCTGGATGAGGGAATGAGCTCACTGCATAGCCCAACCCTTTGCCCCAAACAACATAGGGAGTAAGTGCTAAAGTAATGTTTATTGAAAGGTACTATCAGCTGACTGCTTACAGCAGGGTCACGGGGAGTGTGTGTTAAAAACAGATTTCCTTGTCTCCTCAGCCCTCTGAGTTCCATCTACCTTCATGCTTGAACATTTTCAGTTTGCACAAAGACCTCAACTGAAATGAGCTGTATTCATGTTCCTATTTTCTGACCAGTTAAACAAAGGAAGCTGTGGGGGGAGAAAGTACAACTTTTGCCTCTTATCCTGTAGAGGTGCTTCCTTACAGGTCCTATAAATACTTCTCAGTTACTCAGCAACACCAAACATAGACCCATCAGGAAAAGAAGCAGATAAAACACTCTGCTTCTGCTTCTGTATTCTGGACACTGCTTTGTCACGAAATATTTACTGGTTTTACAGAGCCTGTGTGGTCTCTCTCAAACCCAGTTTCCTTGTGTTGTACAGAGGATGACCACTGTTGAGTAAGGAGAGGTGAACTGGTGAGAGTGAACTATTGTCTCCCAGGATGAAAAGCACAGTTTCTTTTGCCTTGAGTCAGGGACATGCTTGGTGCTGGTCACAGATAATGAACAATGAAGTCATGGGGACCATTTCCATGGAGTTTCTGGTATCAGGAGCCTGAAAATTTCTTGAAAGTATATAAATTATATAGATAATTGAAATCGTATGTTCATTGTACAGATAAGATTAAACTCTGAAGTTTATTTTTGATGAGGAATATAAGATAGGCAATACCATCTCATTTTAGTTTATTTTAGTATACACACACACACACACACACACACACACACACACACACACAGAGCATTTGGAAGACAGAAGAAGGCACCTGGTTTACAAAATGGCTCTAGGATAGATAAGGCTACAAAGGTGAGACCCAGTCTCAAAGATAGATAGATTATGACATAATCTCATAAAGTTTTATGATTAGATATTCATGAACAGAAACCAATGTGTCAGTAAATAAAATGGGATGGAAGAGATTTTAAATTTAGAGACTAGAACATACAAGATTTCACACAGAAAGACACTGACTTTATTGATGAAATTATCAAAGTTCTGAATTTCTTGGTCCTTAGATTAAACAAGGCAGAGAAGGAGAAAGAAAGAAAGAAAGAAAGAAAGAAAGAAAGAAAGAAAGAAAGAAAGGAAGGAAGGAAGGACGGAAGGAAGAACAACTTCTACTATCCCTGTGTCCTGATCCAGCTTTAATTTTATGTGTCTGTTTGAAGGTGCAGTGGATGCCATACAGTGCATGGAAGATAAAAAGAAAGTTAGTGGAAAGTGAAATTCTGAAAAGCTAGTGATTGCTCACATGCTGGGTTTTCATGTGTAGAGAAAGGATCAGATAGGTGACATAGGATGACATAAAAAAGCAAAATAAACAGTTTTATGACTAGGGAATTCTTTTCTCCAGATCTTTTATTGTATAATCAAGCACTTATCTGACATCCTGTTCATCCTTAAAGCAGTTGGTCCATTCTTGTCAGGCCAGCCTTCCTCTCACACATTAAATAATGTCTGTCCTCACAGGAAGCTGGATAGATTTTCCCATTATAAAGATAAGCACAATTCATGTTTTCTCCTGGATTCCCAGAAAGATCAATCCTGCAAATGCAAAGGCAGAGGGCACAGTTTTTTTTGTTTTGCTTTTGAGATAAGTATATAAGGAAGCAAGGGATATGTATGTTTTGCTAATCAAACTGGAGACATGAGGTGGGGAAAAAGCAGCATTCTCATTTTTGAGAAACTCTTTGTCCACTATACACAAGAAAAGTCCAGTAACACAGTGTAAGTCAGGAGAAAGTCAATGAAAGTGCAAGGGGAGTCCAGAGAAGGAGGCAGACCATGCTCTGACATGCCAAAGATTTATGTACAATTCACTGTGGGTCAGTACTGAAAGAAGAGCAGGTTTTACATAAGCAGAGAGGAAATGGGAAGTTCTTACAGAGACAGCAGCTAACTGTACAACATGGGAAAATCCTCTAGAAGTAAGATGGGCTAAATACTTCAGAGCTGAGAACTAACACCAGGTGACTAGTTCAAAAGTTTATCTCTAGTCCCCGAATTACTGTTTACAATGAGAGATGGGAAAATATGTTTAAGACTACTTGACAGACGCCTATGACACCAATGACTTATAAAACTGGCTCCATGATTGAGGCAGAGGAAAGACAGGGTATCTTCTTGTTTTAAAAACCCAAATTCCAGTGAGGAGAAATTGGTAAGGTGCCCACAGATAAGCAGACAGGAAAATGGCAGTGAGAGCTGTGAAGAAATAGAACAGTAAGGAGACAACAGGGCAGGTGTGTGTGTGAAAGGAGCAGGTTTTAGTGGGAGCCATTAGAGTTGATCTCACTGAGGAAGCGGCCTTCAAATAGACGTGACCAACAAAAAAAGAGTTGGTCATGGATTCTAGGAGGGAAAGGGGAATTTGACTCCTTGAGAATTTAGAGAGAACACCACTTCCTTGCAATATTGTGAGCAAGGCAGTAAGCAATGAGAGATAAAGGCCACAGTTTGCAGGAGGTTTGTATGTATTTGTGTGTCCTGAGATTCTCTCCAAGGTAAATAATAAATACATGCTGGCTTAGTTATTTATTTAAATAATGATAGAATTATATACGCTTTGATCATAAATTATGGACAGAGAGAGTGCATTGTTGTGCAGAATAAACAAAAGATACTGAAACTAGTGGTTAGAGAGCTGTTTTGAGAGCCAGCAAGATGGCTCAGTGGGGAAAGGTGCTTGCTGGAAAGTTTGCTGACCTATAATTGATTTCCAGGATCCACATGGTAGAAGGAGAAAACTAACTCACCCAAATAGTCCTCTGACCTACATTCACATACAATGTGGCATGTGAATTCTCAGTGTCCCTCTCTCTCTCTCTCTCTCTCTCTCTCATACACACATACTTAACTTTAAATTTTAAAAATTAAGGAGAGACAGAGCCATATTGAATAACACAACTCAATGAAATGAGGTCATTTGCCTACAATGCCATTAGAAGGGTAGAGACTCATTGTAAGGCATTAGAATTGCCTTGTGATCTAGAATCTACCTGGTTTGTGGAGACCCATAGGACAAAAAGATAATGAAAATAACCTTGATGATAATTATTCTAACCATAAAATAATGGAAAAGATAAATTTATTCTCAAAGCACAAAAGAATCAGGTCAATTTACACACACACACACACACACACACACACGAGAGAGAGAGAGAGAGAGAGAGAGATTGAGAGAGAGAGAGAGAGAGAGAGAGAGAGAGAGAGAGAGAGAGAGAGAGAGAGAGAGAGAGAGAAGTGCCTGGCAGCTACAACCCATAGTGGGGTAGAGAGACATCTCAACTTTCAGGCAACTTGTATTCAACAAGAAAGATGTGACTCAAAGCTTTGAGTAATGCTTTCTAGTTGAGCTACCAGAGACTTACATATTCTTCGGAAGAATTGAGCCATCTTCCCACATCCAGTCCTTATTAGAGTTCTGACGTGATAACCCAATCCAACGGACCGAAGTAGTCCTGTTTGTGAGGTATTCCTGTTGCAAACAAATCCATACAATGGTAAGTGCCTCCACAGCACTGGGAAATGACAGTGACACACTTCACAATAAAGCCTCAAGCAAGCATCTGAAATTACGCATCTATGTTGCTACTGATGGGCTATATTTCACGTATAGGATTTTGCTAGTTTGTTTTGAGATATTTAAAAGTTTACGGAGCACAAGATAAATTGTATTAAATAGATGATAGTCTAGTCTTCCTATGTTTTTATCATGTATTTTTATATTTCCTACCATTTAAAGATTTGAGTTCCAGGGAGACCTCTAAATATGATTCAGTTGGGATGAATGCAACAGCTACAAATGACAGGAAACAAAATGCTGTTAAAATCCCTGAAATTAGGTTCTTGGATTTGATTATCTTATACATGGAAATATTAATCTGTTTTAGTCGCATGAATAGAGAACTATAGATGTCTTTCTCAAAGAAATTAGTAAACAACTTCTATCTTTCCAAATATACAGTAGCCCAAGCTGGCCCCAAACGTGAGATCCTAGCCTGAACTATCACTATCTAAGCATGTACCACTACATCTGGCTCTGATTTACTTTTTCCTGTCTGGTTGTCATTTACTTTTGTTAGTTTGTTTTGTTTTTCAAGACAGGGTTTGTCTGTGTATTCCTGGCTGTCCTAGAACTCACTCTGCAAGCCAGGGCGGCCTCAAATTCAGAGATCTGCCAGCCTCTGCATCTCCTATGCTAGAGTTAAAGGCTGCCCAGATTTTTTTTAAGTTCATGACTTTGGTTTTATTAAGTACATAGATGCAGGTCCCAGAGTGGTTCCAGTATATATGGGTTGACTATTAGATGAATGGACAATCAATCTGTTGGAAAGAAAAGCAAAAGGAAGCCGAATATTTATTATGCCTTCATGCATCCCAGAATAGCACACAAGAATCTACTCTTGGAAAGCAACAACAAAAATAAATGGTTTGAGCTTGTGAGCAGAAGTGTAACACTCGGAATAACACTGCACAGGAGACACTTCAACCTCTCTCTTCCCTAAAGTGTGAGCCACCGACCGCTTTCCATTAATCCATCGATCACTTTTCTCTAAAACATGTCCGTATAGACACATATCCACACTGCCCAAGATGCCTCCTTGCTGGACTTGATGGAAAAATCCAATTGATATTTAACTTTTTTTCTCAAAAAGTGATATTACTTCTTTGTTATATTACAGATTCAGATTTTCAAGTGATGTCAGTTTGGAATGATGGGAGTCATGGCATGTTTCATGTCTCCATGTAATCTCTTTATAATAGAGTTGCCATGCTAGGACACTCCCCTATTTTGACTGAGTAAATGTATTTTTTATTTGAAACTTCTCTATGAACCTGGGATTACATTGAAGGGGCAGAAACTCCCCAAACTGGAATGTATGTGATGGGAGCATCACATGCTGATGCATCCTGTCCGAACCACTGCCCACTTTTGCCGTTATGGAGGCACACACAAATCCAGTCTTACTCAAACACTGCTGTGATATTTTGAAATATTACTAGATTAAATATTTAATCTCTGTATTTGTTATCAGGCTTCCTAAATTTCTCAGAGGAGCACCAAGTGCAAACCATTAAGAAACATATTTAAAAAAAGAAAAGAAAAAGAAACAGCCAGATTCCATGTTTCCTTTGAGAGTTTTTTTCCTTAAGTTCCCAAATGTTTGACACGGGACTCTCCTTACCACAGTCCTCTGGTTCGCAGCCTTCACGAGTGTTGCATTCTGCTCAGCACAATACTGCTTGCTCTCTTCCCACGTTCGGTTTTGTCTGAAGAACCCATAGCAACTGTCTCCGTAGTATCTCCACCTTGAGGCACAGGGACTGCACTTGTGCTCTGAAGGAGAGACCGAGTTTTGAGCTGTCAAAGCCTGGCCACAGCTTTGCTCCGGTGAAGTGTGCCTGCTCTGGTGGGCTTCCCTCCTGTTACCATAACAGACACACAGGGCTTGAAGAGACGACGTTTCCAACCCAGACTTACCATAAGTGTTCTTTGTCTTGAGCTCTATTTGCCAAATCAACTCTTGGCAGAATTTCTTGGCCAGCTGTTGCAGAGTGGCTGAGAGGCTTTCCTTCTCCGTTAGTAGGTACCTCTGCTGTGTAACTGCTAAATGTAGAGAAGAGACAAGTTACCCCAGGGTCTGTCTCAAGGTCAAAAACATGATGGCAGGGTTCTTCAGTGAACTTTCCTTTCTATAAACCTGCCAGTAGTTGAAGAGTTCACTGAGTACATAGGAATAAATGAATACTGAACAATGACATATAAAGAACCAAGCGAGGGATGCATAAAAGAGCGTGCAAATTGACAACGAAAAGGACCTGAGGTGAAAACACATGGCTAAGGCAGCTGATCTGATATTTCCTAAGTGGGCTTCACAGAGATGAGAGAAGCCTAACATTGGTGTTCTGTTCTACATATAACACTGAGTTAATCCACCTAAGACTGCATGGTGGAATGGCTCTTCTAACTGTACAGAAAGAAGTTCATTGAGATGTACCAATTTTCAGTCTGCTTCATTTGGCTGCGTGGTTTCTTAAGTTCTTTATGAAAATGTTTTAAATTTTAAAAAGTAGTTAATTAAAACATGAAAAAATACACATTATCTCTTATGATGTTTAAAACTCTTGTATATCCATGTAAATAAAATATGATGAGTAAAGGCTTCTAAAATATATTAAAAACAAGAAAACAAATGAATTAGCAACACAAATTATGGTATGACCTCATAAAGTCTTATGATTAGGTATTCATGAACAGAAAACCAATGTGTTAGTAAATAAAATGGGATGGAAGATATTTTAAATTTAGAGACTAGAACAAATAAGACTTCACACAGGAAGACACGGGCTTTATTGATGAAATCAGCAAAATTCCAAATCGCTTGGTCCTTAGATTAAACAAGACTGAGAGGAAGAAAGAAAGACAGCCTGGGTCCATACTGAGCCTCTTAAATGCTAACAATACATTCTGAAAGTAATTATAACTAAGGAAAAATAAAAAAGATCCATATCGGAGGAGCGAGTTCTCCCTTCTGAGTTTTCCTTTGCTAAGGCTGCATCCATAGCTGTGTGCAGGGCAATCAGAATAGGTGACAAACAGACGAGACAATTAGTTAGCTTAGTAGACTATTCCAGGAACTCCTGGGGGTATGGCTTTCCTCAGATCAAAGCCCTGGCGAGTAGCCAATACTTACACATGATGCCGAGAGCCACCAGCCCAACAACCAGCCCCATGGATGACATCAGCAGAATTAGAGCTATCACACGCCACCATGAAGAAGCAGAGTCAGCTATGGGAGCACAATAAAGATAGGTAAGAAAAGATCTTCAGGCCATCCTGGGCTTCTCAGGATTTTCCAAGTAAGCTGTGTTTGGGAGAGCAAACTTACAGCCTCATACACAGGTCATGGAGGCAGAAGGATCAGGAGTTCAAAGCCAGCCTTGACTACTGTAGCAAATTCAATGCCAGTCTAGGCTCCATGAGACTCTGTCTCAAAATCCAACTAACTTGAGCTAGTGAGATGGCTTAGCAGATAAAGTACTCACCACATTAGCCTGCCAACCTGGGTTTGATTCCTAAAATACAGAGTGGAAGAAAAGAACCTACTTCTGAAAGCTGTCCCCCGACCTCCACAGGGCACATGACACATGTACAACCACTCATACCCACACAAACACACAAGTATGGTTGCTCTCCTGTGCACACACACATACTCACACGTGCATATACGACACAATGCACACACATGCACACACGCGCGCACACACACACACACACACACACACACAATTAAAACAACAACAACCAAAAACAGTATTGGTGGATATTTTGCCTTCGTTCCCTTGGTGGCCATCCGCAATGAGAATGACTTACTTTACACCGTTCACCCATCTCCATCATCTCTGCTCCCCATAGATAATTCTCTATACATTCTAAAACATAACTGCCAAGTCCACATGTATTTCTCTGTTTCTCTCTCTGTCTCTGTCTCTCTCTCTGTCTCTCTGTCTCTCTCTCTCTCTGTGTCTGTCTGTCTGTCTATCTATCTGCATCCTTAATCATATAAACAATGACTTTCATAGAAGACAAGTGAAGAGTTTTATTTTCTGGTGTTCAGAAATTTGAAATTGTTTTCAAAAAGGTGAAAAAAACTTTTTATTTTATATTTTACATAAAATGTTTACATATTAAAGAACACTATGACCCTTTTTTTCAGTTTTCAAGACAGGGTTTCTCTGTGTTAACAACCCTGGCTGTCCTGAAACTTGCTCTGCAGACCAGCCTGACCTTGAAACCACAGAGATCCACCTGCCTCTGCCTCGCAAGTGCTGGCATTAAAGTCGTTCGCCACCACCTGTTGGCATGACCCAATGATTTTATATTATTTTAAACAGAAGGAAAATGAAAGAGTTCAGATTACAAAAACCTTCCCTCCAGAATTTTTTTAAAAAAATATTTTTCCAAGTGAGTCATTCAACAAATGTATTTATTCACAACCAGTTCCCATCATACAAATGGAATTTGTGACCAATGGAATTTAAAATATGAAGACATTTGTCAGGCATTAGAGTTTTCATACTGTCCTTCCCTTTGTCCCATTAGCTTCTTACACCCAGCATTGCATTCTAATAGTCATAGTACAAAGCCCTCTCTTCTATCGTTGTTGCCCTTATTCTCATTATGTTTGTAGAAGCCTTGGTAGGCCTCATTTAGATGCTTCAGAGAAAGAGTATCATTCAGGAGAACACAAATAAAATTAAGCGGCATCACTAGGGGATAGAGGGGGAGAGAAAGTCCAAATTGCTGAATGACCCTTCTTACCTGAGCTCAGAGTTGGTTTTCGGGGCTTAATGTTCAAAGTGATGTATCCGTCTTCATCCTGCATGGCTCCCCTTGAACTGCAAGTGAGCTCAGAGTTCAGTGAGTCTGCAGAACTCACTCAGTGTCCACTCTTATCATTTCAGTGCCTGCCAGAGTGGGTCTCCGTCTCCTGGCGCTGTGGAGCCATGTACCATCGGGACACTTGGGTTTTGTTTTGTTTTGTCTTGTTTTCCAGGAAGCCCTTTCATGGATGTTCAGAGATACGTGGACTTGAACCTAAAAACAAAAATAATAATAACTTGTGGTGAAAGAGTAGATGCGGGGCTCATTTCCTGCTTTCTTATCTTCAACACCGAGTAAAGGGATGTTCCATCGTGAGTATCCTGTCAAAGAACAAAAGTTCACGCTTCATCTTAACCCTAGGAAAGCTGAAAATGTATCACATAAGTGAACTGTTTACTCATGGGTAAAAATACCCGTAGATGTATGGCAAATCACATGGTGACAGCAAATTATCAATTATTGCATCTGGTGCTAAATTGATGCTTTTAATTTTGCATTAAAAGGGACCACTCCTCACAATGGCCTAGAATTCACTCAAATTCTTGCATCTAATGTGAGTCAGTTTATTTTTTTAAAAATTGAAGATTCCACCTATGGTGGACCTGAGATCTCTTAGACCTAGGCACTGAAGGAAAAAAATCAAATAATTACAGAACTTGTGATGTGATATTTCACTTCAAAATGGATTTCTTGGATTTAAAAAAATATCTAAATTTCAATGACATTCTTTAATTTTGAGTGTGGTTTTCCTCAGCAAGCGAACTGTATGCAGAGGGAGCTGTTTTCTCTAAAGCCCTTTTAATCAGAGTGCAATTCATCACTCTGCTCTAAAGAAATGGGCAGCAGCTACAGGAGCACCACACAGAACTAGCTAAGGTGGTTATTGTAGCAATATTGGTGTGAATGCTACCGATTTCAGTGTTAGGATAGGACTTACATAATATTATATCAGGGAATTCTGCTGATTATCCATGGCCAGTAAAGCATCCTGACCTCAAAGCCTCTGGTCCTTGACATTTGTCACAGAAGTGATCACATCACTGCCCTTCTGCTTTTAGGAGAATCCAGTCTCTGTCTTTCAGCATGGGGACCGCACAGGACTTTCTGGAAGGTGTCTGCTCGCCTGTGTTCCCTTTGACATCTTTTACATGTTTTCATTTCTTTTTCTCCTTGCTGTCTACTTCACTCGGGATTCTTTGTCAATTTATTGAAAGGGTGCTGCATTTTGAAATACCTTTTTCCTACACTCCTCATATGATTCCACAAAGACAACCAACTATTCAGCTATGGCTGCTGCTGTTTGCACAGCTTCTACCTCAGCTGAAGAGTCTTCCTTTCCCTGAAAAGGGGTGAGAGATAACTCAGTCTTCCAGCAAAGCTTGGGATCAGCTAGAGCTCCTGCTTCCTTTATCCATATCCATTGCAAACTGAAAAAAAGAAGGTGTTTCCTTTAGTGCCTCGCTTCAGTGTTTTACCCAACTACATACAGAAACAGTGCAATATTATAGAATGAATAAGTTCAGCTTAATGAAGAAAAAAGCATGTACAGAGCTATAATTCTAAAGACACTCTATCCAGTAATGTTTTACTCCATGTTTCTTACACACGAAATTAACCCCTTTGAAAAATTTAATCAGGTAAATTAAACTGAATGCGTAATTGTGAACTCCAAGGGCATAGGGAATGATGGTACATGTTTTTGTATTAAATATTGTAAACCTTAAGTAATTAAAAATAATAATTAGCTTGCGTTGTTTAAGTTTCCAAATATTCCGAGTCTTGGGCAACTGGATTAATCATGAGAGAGTCCTATTTATTCCTATAAACCAACAGGGGATCAGGCTTACTTTACGTTACAGGTCCATTACTTCATGGGACTGTACATTCAGCATCAGAAGAAGACATAGGTGGGTGGGCCTCAGACCCTGAGTCTCAGACCATAGGATGACACTCCTTTCTGTAGCCAGGGTGAAAGAATTCTACTGGTTCTTTCCCCTTTCTCATTGGAATTTGTCACTGCTGTTTGGTTCCTCAGTTACTCCAGTCACAATCTTCTCTTTAGATCCAGAGTTTGCCTTTATGTGCATCCTATCCTCCATCCTCCAAGCACAGCATTTGGTGTTATGAGCCTAAAACACAAATGTGGAGAACTGCAGGGTCAAAAAAGTCTCCAAAGGCATTTAAACTTAATTTTACTCTCTTACATATAATATGAATGCAAACTAAACTATGTAGGAAAAAATAAAACTGAGAAGTGAAGAGAAAAATAGATTAACAAAATTTTTCTTCTTTCTTTTACTAAATTCAGAGTCTGGATAGATATTTCTTAGCTGCACTGCAAAACCTTTAATGACATTTCTTATTTCCACTTGAATATTTACCTCCTCTTTTATTCATTCTAGAAACAGTAACAAAAAGAAAACAAAAAACCAAGCCGTTCCTTCAACATAACCTGGTGACATTCTAATTTAGAATAAAAACTCACCTATATGTGAAATCTAAAAGCACTATTATATGAATTTTATTTATTTATTTTCACTCAAGTATCTAATCCATACTGATTGTCTACAAGAAGCTAGTTCTTAACGTTCATGGAGACGGTGTGGCACTGGCCCTCAGGAGCACAGACTTGCAATTGGACTAGATCATCTTTGTTTTTGACATTGATAATGTCTTCCTCAAACCCACTGCCCATCGGGTCACACTCCTGTCCCTTATTCACACATAGTTATATTTTTTCCATTTAATTTATTTTCTCTTTTTTTTGTGTGGCATTGGGGATCCAACTCCAGAGTCTCGTAAGTACCACACTAGCACTGTAACCACTGAACTACAATTCAAGATCCCATATTTAAATTGTTGCATTTATCCCCAGAATGATGTGTTCTAGTGATTGACTAGCATACAGTTATCACACAGTCAATATGTGTTGGATAAGTAGGCGATTATACACATGAAAACTTTATTAAGAATTTGGGGATTTTCTATGACCACATTTAAAAAGTGACAGCATCTCCCCAGGTTTCACATGCTTTTATCTCATTAAGATGCCTTCCAAGTTTCTGTGTTGTCTAGATGCATCACATGTTTTTATGGAAGAAGAATGGGTAACGGATCACAGAATCCGTGTGTCAAGGTGTGGATGTGACTAGAAAGGAAGGGAGTGGAGTAAACTTGTGGCTAAGACTAATCAAGATACAGTAGCAGTCAGGGGCTGTGGAGAGAGACAGACAGTAAGTCAGGAAGCATTGACCAAAAGAACATAGAAAGAGTACTTTGAAGCTGATGATCAGACAATTTCCCTCCGAAGTGTAAGGCCTTCTACCAACGCATTCCTATCTGCCCCCAACCCCCAGTTCCGCTCCCTACCCTTCACCCCTCAGCTGCCCATATTAAAATTGCTGGCTCACTTTTGGCTTATTAACTTTGTGCACACAAAGGAAATGTTGGTTTTCTTTGGAAAATGACAGGATTTCCTGTTGTGGGAAATAAAGCATAATTAACATGTATTCCTTTGTTTTCGGGAACCTTAAATACGTGGATTTAAATGAGTTTTATTAAAAAGTTGCAGCATTTACACTAATTATAGGGCAACTGAAGCAGAGCCCTTGGTTACATAACAGAGAAAATGAAAATGAGAAAGAACACACAGTGGGTTGCAGCCATCATGTTAAGATTACCAGGAGCATGAATCCTATCTAAGTAAAATGTTATTTGACAATCAAATGGCAGATAAAAATCCCAAGGAAAGGCAAAGTCACAAAGAATAGGAAGGGACAGGGAATGATTTTTGGGCAAGGAAAACACGTGGATAAAGATATGGGCAGTTGAGTAACTTTGGTGTAATTGAGTAAAAACCCATGGTTAAGAATGTTTTAAGCGGAGCTTCATGCCAGACTGCTGTGAAATACAAAGTGTTAGGTCACAATGAAACCTACACGGCAGAGATAATTAACCTATCCTCTCTCTAAACCTGTACATCATCATCACTGTGACTGTCCCTGCCACTGTACTGTTTTCTGGGGTCAAACAGTCAATGGAGCACAGTAGTTGTGTATGGGTGGTGGTGAACACACTAATAAACAAGCAGAGAGCAAGATAATGTCTCACCATCATGCTGTGAAGGGGTTGGGCAGTGAGATAGCTCAGTAGCCAAAGTGCCTGCTGTCCAAGCTGGAGGACCTGAGCGTGATCTCCAGAACCTACTTAAAAAAGCAGGAGCTGTGGCGACCGGGAAAGAGACCAGGCATAAGACAAGCATATCCCTAGAGCTTGTTGGCCAGCTAGCCTGACCAATCAGTGACCTGCAGAGCAATTAAATCTCTTATCTCAAAAAATTAGGTGGGGAACTACTGAGGAAGATACTAGATGTCACCCTGTAGCTTTCATATGTGTGTGTGTGTGTGTGTGTGTGTGTGTGCACGTACACACACATGAACACATCCATATACCATGTACAGAGCTGCACATGCAATGCTCTCAAGGAAAATAAGCCACTATAATAGAATGTAATTGGCTGAACTCCTTGAGTTGGTTTAATCAATTTTCACAGCCCTTTAGCATCTGTATAGGTTCCTTCCACTTTAGAATTACCTATACTAGATAAAACTTACCTCAGCTATGGGGAAGGGGGAGTGATGGCTGCTTCTATAGGGTTTTTATCAATTATCATTGTAGTAACTATTATATGTATACAAATTTTACTAGTAAGGAAATTAGACAGGCTTGGTAGTGAATGCCTGTAATGTCATTAATATAGAGAGTGAGACAGGAGGATAGTAAGTTTGAGAGTTGTCCAGACAACACAATGAGATCTTGTTCAAAACATAAAACAAAATGCACATAACTGAGTGGTTAATTTGCATGCAGAGGGTCACAGGGTAGTAAGTTTGAGTCACATTCAAAACAATGAGAATTACTTGATAATTCTTTATTTAAATCAAGATAGCTTACAACCAGGTTTATAACTGAATTCCATTCTCTATTCATCCTATGTCTCCTCCTTGTGGCCATTTTTATTTCTGTCTGAGTTTGTTTTGTCTCTGTTTCCTTTGGGTCTTTGGTACCTCTGTCTTTGACCATTAGTCAATCACAGTTCCCTCTCCTATCTCTCCTCCCCTACCCTATCACATTCCCTTTCTGTTCCCAGGGGAGGGTGAGGTCTTCTATTGGGGATCTTCAAAGTCTGTCATATCATTTGGAGCAGGGCCTAGAGCCTGCCCCATGTGTCTAGGCTGAGAGAGTATCCCTCTATGTGGAGTGGGCTCCCAAAGTCAATTTATGTGCTAGAGGTAAATACTGATCCATTACCAGAGGCCCCATAGATTGCCCAGGCCTCTGAACTGACTTCCACGTTCAGGGGGTCTAAAACAGTTCTATGTTGGTTGCCCAGCTATGAGTCTGGGGTCCATGAACTGCCCCTTGTTCAGGTCAGCTATATCTGTGGGTTTCTCCAACCAAGTTTTAATCCCTCTCTGTAACAGGATTCCAGGAGTTCAGCTCAGTGTTTAGCTGTGGGTGTCTCCTTCTGCTTCTATCAGCTACTGGATGAAGGCTCTAGGACAGCATATAAGGTAATCATCAATCTCATTATTGGGGAAGAACATTTAATTTTTCATGGGTTCTGACAATCAAACTAGGGCCCTTGTGTTTGTAATTCAAGAACTTTGAGGACTGGGATATCTGTTCAATTCTGTAGTACAACTGGGAGCCTCCAGACACTTTGATCACTCCATCAATTTTCAAGGTGCATAGAAAGGATCATGAATGAATCATGTATGAATATTCATGTCTGAAGATCATGCACAAATGTTACTGAAGAGCATGTTATGGCTGTGTGTTCCTGTACCTCCTGGGGAGTAGGCATAGCCCATTCTGGAGACCTGTGGCTAATCCCATCTTTACCCAGACACAGATCCTGGAAAGACGTAGATAACCTCCCAGTAATCTGAAAGTATAAACCCACACCAAATGTAGACCAAATATCCAGTACAGACCAGTTATCTAGTCTCCTCGTTCCTCTGCATAAAGGAAAACTTTAGAGAAGTTTGAAACTTTTGCTCAGGTGTGACTCCCCAGTTTTTTCTTGGAAGGACTAGGGCTGCATCGCAGTGGTAAATCTCTTGGACTGCGTACTGAAAGCTCTGGTTAGCAATGGAAAGAAACTATTTTCTAGGATTCTGTGGTAGTTTGAATAGGAATGGCACGCATAGACTCATCTATTTCAATGTTTGGTCATAGGAGAGTGGCTCTCCTTGAGAGGGATTTGAAGGAATGGCCTTTACTGGAGTAGGTGTGGCTTTGTTGAGGAAGTGTGTAATTGGGGGTGTGGTATGAGGTTTCAGAAGTGTCTCTCTCTTCCTGCTGCCTCTGGATCCAGATGTAGAACTCTCAGCCTCTCCATCATCATGTTTTTCTGTATGCTGCCATGATAATGATGGACTAAACTGCTGAAACTGTAAACAAGCCACAATTAAAGGCTTTCTTTTATAATAGTTGCCATGGACTTGGTGTGTCTTTGTAGCACTAGAGCAACAACTAAGACAAGTTCTGAGTTAGTTTCCTACTGCTGACAAGTAACTACATGTTCAGCGGGTTAACAGCATGTGTTATACAGGTCTGTGGTTAAATGTCTGACTTGGGTCCTTTGGGAGAGTTCCAAGGACAATGTGCTTCTGTGCTTTTCTTCTAGCATATGTCCTTTGAGTGCTAATTGCCATTCATCACCCATCAATTAGTATCTTATTTAATATTGTCATAAAATTCACAGATCATCTGATAAAACTTCTTCAGTGTTTGAAATGTTTAAAGATTTTTTGTTTTATTAAGTACATTCAGGTGATTCAACATAATCTTACCTATTTTCCCTATGAACGTCACATTCAGAAAGACAAGCTTAGGGTATTTCTACCCATAACAAATTCCTAACAGCAATTTACTTCTTTGTATAGTGTAGTAGTTGTTTTTTTGTTTGTTTGTTGTTTGTGTGTTTGTTTAGTTTTTTGAGACAGGGCTTCTCTGTGGCTTTGGAAGCTGTCTTGGAACTAGCACTTGTAGACCAGGCTGGCCTTGAACGCACAGAGATTCACTTGCCTCTGCCTCCTGAGTACTGGGATTAAAAGCATGTGCCACCAACGCCCGGCCTGTAAGTTTTATATTTAAAAATGTATGGCATAATTAGAAATAGACACAGCCTTTAAGACAACTGTGAGCTCTAGGAATGAGCTAGTTACTTTATTTGGGAAGAGAGCAATCAAGAAAATACCTCCATCAGATTGCCTGTAGGAAAGCCTATTCAGTATTTCCTTGATCGGGGATTGATATGGGAGTGCCCAGGACACTAAGAGCAGTGCAGCCCCTGGGCCTCTAGTACAGGTATAGAAGAAAGCAGGTTAAGTAAATCACAGGGAACAAGTCGCTAATCACACTATTCTGAGGCCACTCTTTCAATTCCTCATTCCTGGTTTCTGACTTTAGTCTCTGTCCTGACTTCCCTTCATGATGAACTGTGAGCCTTAAGCTGACAAAACCCTTTCATCCCCAAGTTATTTCTACTCATGGTCTTTCATTACAGAAATAGAAAGCAGACTAAAATGATGGTTTTTGTAAATAAATGACTGTAGTGTATGTGTGTGTGTGTGTGTGTTTGCAAACCAGAGTTTTTTTGTTTTTTTAATTCTACACAATAGACAGAATGGCATTGTCATAGTTAGGGTTTTATTGATGTGAAGAGACACCATGGCTCTGGCAACCCTTGAAAAGGAAAACATTTAACAAGGGCTGGCTTACAGTTCAGAGGTTTAGTCCATTATCATCATGTTGGGAAGCATGGCAAAGTACAGGCAGACATGGTGCAGGAAAGACAGCTGAGAGTTCCACATCTTGATCTTCAGGCAACAGGAAGTGAACTGGCTTGAGTTTCTGAGACCTCAGAGTCTACCCCCTAGTGACACACCTACTCCAACAAGGCCACATCTCCTAATAGTGTCACTCCCTATGGGCCTATAGTCATCATTTTATTCAAACCACCACAGCCATCTACTATTGTTGACTAGTGTCCATGACCCATAGTTAAAACATTTAGTTTTGCAATGTAAATCATTGTAAAGTGACCTTACTCCCAATTTGTAGGAAATAAAATTCAGATATTTTATGTCTAAGACAGGGAATGTAGATATAAATTATATTATCACGGTTTTTAAAATAAATATAAATGAATGGTAGCTTAAAGAGATTTCAGGTCCTGTGACCATCTAGATATCCTTGCAACTCGGGTCCACACATATCTGATCATTTCTGACTGTTTACAGCTGTGACCATAAGCACCCTCTGATTATTCATGCTGAGAAGATGGCATGTTTTCTGTTAGAGTTTTGTCTGTCCTGTGAGCAATGGCTGCGAGCTGTCCTCAAGGTTAAAAGAAGTGTAAGCATGCCTTTAGCTCATTCTGCCTGCTTTTTATCACTTGCAATGCAGCGAGACATTGCTGGAAAAGTTTGTTCTGAGTTTGTACTCAACCAAACCAACAGAGGGCACTCCTTCCCATACCCAATTTAGGCACACTGTAACTTCTCCCCCATGCCCCCATGCTTCAACCCCTCTCTATTGTCAATTCTCTGTCTCTGTCTCTGTCTCTGTCTCTGTCTATCTCTCCCTCTCTTACACACACACACACACACACTTATTACGCTTCTCAGGCATATATGACACAGCTCTTCCTGCCATGATTCTCCTTGATAGCTGGTATGACTGAGGACAAACTAGACCCATTGTAGGATTAACTGTCCTTACATACAGGCAGGGAAGAAAACAGGGTTGTTTATTCATTCTTTAAACATCCAAAAGTATCATGGGAATTCCTACATGAAGCCTTCACTCTTGCTTGCCTGCAAACACATCATCTTGGCTTCACAGCAAGGAACAATGCACTACAGTTGGAAACTGGCAACATTCTAACTCTTAAGGAGGGTTTGTGATTCATCTCACTTTCCCCACAGAGAAACTGACTTTCTCTGTCCTCACAAAGGAGAAATAAGGAGTATCTTTTGTCAGTTATTTGTCTGTAAAAGCTCCTAGCCTTGAAAAGGAACTGCCTGTACTGAGCCTGAAGATATTGCAACATTAATTTATAGACTCACTTTCTCCTGCAATGTCTGATGAAGTGACCTATGCAACACTTATGCTTCAGGATTCTTCAAGAGTGAGAAGTAAACAGGATGGAAATAACCTAAGAAAAGAAGGTAAGAGCTTAGATGAAGCACCCTATCTATAGTCTTTGGAATGACAGGTGTTAAGCGCTTCGAGATGCGGGCTTTGACACTGAAGCGGAGGGAGAGGGTGCAATATAATCCACAAAATAGAGACAAACAGTCCTAGATGTGTCAGCAGAGTGAGTGTCCTTAAGAGAATATATGGGGCTTTCAAGACCAGTGTGAATTGTATGGAATCACTGTCATGAAGCTTTTCACTGTAGGAAAAAAATTAATGGATATGTCAGAGACTGGGTCTGGGAGTGAGAGATTCCTATTTATAGCCATCCTTGACTCTTATGTCTTGTCAGCAATATCAGAGAAATGTTTTTCTAGAAGCCAAAAAGGATTCTTAAATATGTAGAGGAAGCTCTGCTAGTGTGTGGTATAATTTGCGGAAGAAGTCAAGTACAGTTAAATCTCAAGTGAACAAGAGCTAGCTTTTTGTCTTACGATGTTTTTAATTTAAGGTCATTGGAAACCCAGGTATAACTTGGAGCATTTTTCAATAATAAATGCTATCTATGCACAGCTTTATTGAAGTGTAGTTGTAAAATAAATAATATCACCAGTTTTGCAGTTATGTAGATGGGAACGCTGAGTCTCAAAGAAGCTAGGTAGTTTGTCTAAGTTTCTACAAGTGTGTGGTGGGCAGAGTCTTCCAGTGTGGGCTCATTCCCTTAGGCCCAGCTAGCAGACATGACAAGTCTCTAGAGTAGGACATCACTGAATACAGAAGACTGTCTTCTTCTCTTCCAAAGTCCTAGAATTATATGAATTGTTTTTTTCTGCTTTTTGGATTTTCTGTGTGTGTGTGTGTGTGTGTGTGTGTGTGTGTGTGTGTGTGTGTGTGTGTTCATCAGGGAGAGGATATACAGTAAACAGCATAGAGTTTGTGGTCTTTACTAAAGGTGAGATGATTATGCATCTCTGTCTTGTTCTGTCTTGTAATTCTCATTCTAATTTTTGAGGAAAGGGGTCATGTGACTATCCTACATGTGCTACCATACTCACCTAGAAAAAAGATTGTGTGAATCAAGGAAGAGGAGGGTGACAGATATTTTCATGACAAACATGGTCCAAGAGTTGCCTGCTGGTTCTCTGGGCTATTTGCAGACTAGACTATACATTTTCATCGAGGGTTAATTTACTATTTATAACAGTATAAATAATGTCTTAAAAGTTATTTAAAAGTATAATCTACCTTTATAAGAAAAGTAAACCATCTCCTTTTGGAGATTTGTGCCTTAAAATTCAGGGTCTCTGCTGTTGCCAGCATCATTCAAGAGTACTCATTTCCACACCTCATTCGCAAAATCAGTGGACTTGAGGAAGAAAGATGGGGGCTAATTTTAAAAATAAAAAAAACAAATTAAGAGAAATTCACTCTTAAAATGGGGAGCTGAGGGGGGACCATCTCATGTTTCATATTAGCAATTTCTAAACAGTGTTAAAAAACAAGGGAAATTTTTAATATTGAGACACTTCCTCAGTGGGAGAAACAGCCCCGAGTGTAACACCATGCTATGGTTCTATTTGCTCATCCTCTTTTGGCTTCCAGAACACCCAGCTCAATCCTCCATTTGGCGAGGAGCTGCCTTGAGTCTGATGACCCTCTGCCTGTTGCTGGTGACAGGACTGGTGACCTTGGGGATTATATGTAAGTGAACTTGTATTAAACAAAAGATAAGCAGTTATTTAAAAGAAAAAACTTGTACAATATGCAAATCCATGAAAGACATAGTTCTAGCATGCAAATCTTCAAATAACTTCTGCTACCCCAGATCTGCTCCATTCTCCACCACACCTTCAAAGAGCACTAACAAGGGGCCTATTTTACTGCTATGGGAATTCAAGCCCCCCCCCCCCCTCCCCAGTAATTTTTGTCTTTTGATGAACTAGATCACACTGTGAGGAAGACTCTTCTTAGTAACTGGTTAAAATTGAGAAGCTCATTTCTGAACAGACAAACCCATTTGTTATTCTCAGTTAAAAACAGGAAAGCAAGCTAGAGATGTATTTGCAGAAGGACATGAACGTCATTTACCTTGAAATTTAGCAGAAGGCTAACTAAATCTGCTCACCCATGGCCTTCCTGGGGGGAGAGAAAACACTAAAGTGGCAGCAACAACCTTACTTGCCTGAATGAGGAAAAACACATAGAGAAGGAAGAGAGGGGTGTGAATTACAACATACCTGGAAGAAAGAATTGAACCATCTATGTGTCTCACAGTGGAAGCCACTCTCTAGCAGACCCTAAGAGAAGATTATCTTGATTCATATGGACAGGGTAGGGTACTGTGCATTCTAGTACATGGAAAGACATCCCCTGAGGGATGATAGAAGTCCTTCTGTGCATATTTTTGTCTGATTGGTTAATAAATAAAGCACTGTTGGCCAATAGGGAAGCAAGATAGGTGGGACTGGGACTAGGAGTTGAGGAGGATTCTGGGAAATGTAGTCAAGAGTGGGGAGTCGCCATGTGATCCTGGGAGAAGAGGTCACAAATCTGGCATTCTCAGTAAGATAAGACCTTACAAAAATATGTATTATTATGGGTTAATAATTAAGTCAGAGCTAGCCATTAAGAAACCATAGCAAATGGCCAATAGCTTCATAATTAATATAGCATCCTGTGTGTTCATTTGGGACTGACGTGACTCTGGGACCAGGCTGGGGGGAAGAAAACATGTTTCTTATGGTGCCCAATGTCATTTGCATGAATTTCCATGTAGAATGACAAAAGCTTAAAAGGGATTTTTAGAAACAAAGGAAGAGAGACTAGCACAGCTTCTTAGTAGCAGCATTTTCTCCAGTGGGCTTTGTTTTGCTAGAGACAAGGAAAGACTTGCATAACCACTGCTGGAGGTAAACTTACATCTACCATCTTGGAAAGACAGCAGTTAAAACAGCCACGGCTTTGATTTTTAGCAATGTTTTCTAGCAGATAACAGACATGTGGTCAGAAAATCATAAAAATTTAGAGTAAAGTGAGATTCAGATAAAGTAAAACCTCTAAAAGTTATATGGTATTAAAAAATACATGTAGGCTTGGAAGAGAAAAAGAAACCGGATAATGGCTGGGTGTGGTGGCACAAGCCTTTAATCCTAGCACTCCAGAGGCAAAGGCAGGTGGATTTCCCCCACAGAAAAACCCTGTCTCAGAGAAAATAAATAAATAAATAAAAGTAAAATAAATAGAGTAATAATAATAATTAGATAAGTTAAAAAAACATATAAAGATGGAAAATACACAGAGAGTCTCAGTAAGACAAGACATTATAAAAATATATATTAGTAATTATGGGTCAATAGTTAAGTCAGAGCTAGCCATGAGAAACCATAGCAAATGGCCAACAGCTTCATAATTAATATAGCATCCTGCGTGTTCATTTGGGATGGACGTGTCTCTGGGACCAGGCTGGCGGGAAGAATGCAAGGTACAGAGGGTATATACATTATAAAATATAAAGTATGAGGGTGTTTTGGTCAGCACCCATTTGCAGGTGATTCATAATCAAAAGAGTTTATTGGAAGATGCTGTATAATTTACTGTTTCTTGTTGATGTGACAAAAAAAGCAGCTTAAACAAGGAAAGGTTTACTTTGGTTCATGGTTTAGTTAAGATGGAATACAGTTCCTCATGGAACTGGCGTGTACGGTAGTTGATCGCACTACTTCAACAGTCAGAGAGCAGAGGGAGATGAATGTCACGTTCAGCTTGCTTCCTCCTTTTATTCAGTCTAGGTCCTCAGACCAGGGGATGGTGCTATTGACACTCAAGGGGGTGGAGGGAACTTCTTATTTCAGTGAAATTTCTCTGGAAATGCCCATATAAACACATCCCGAAATTTGTCTCCTAGGTGATTCTATAGCCTGCCACATTGACAATAAAGATTAATCATCATAGACACTAATGTCTCCCATGCTCTATTCACTTATTTCCTTATATGAAAGGCTTCGTTGGTAGTTATTATTTGGAAATATGAACACAGACTATTCATCTTGTTCTTAGGAAATGAAATCTGATACTCCTGTTGAGGTAACAGATACTCAGTAGATACTGTTAGGAGAATATGTAGCTTATCTTTTAAAAGATGCATGCCCCCAAAACAAATGAAAATAAAATCATGTTGCTGCATCATGAAATGCACTGTAATTTTCTGTAAAGTGCAACGCTTTTGTTGCAGTGGTTGCTACATGCAGTGTGCTAATGAATCACTGGAAGAGCTTAATAAAAATGTTTTTAAATAGATACATGGATCCAAAACTAGAAATGGTTAGAATGGACCAGGACCAATCTGGGATTATTGGAAAGACCCTGTCAAGTATGAAAGAAAGGGAAGAGAGAGATGGGGGTTGAGCAAGAGGACCTGGTGCTTGCTATAGAGAAGGAAGAGGGAGGGAGGAGAGGGTAAGGAAGAAAGAGGGAGGAAAAGAAAAAAGAAAAGAAAGAAAGAGGGAGAGAAATGAAGGAGAGAAAGGAGGGAGAAAAGAGAAAATGAAGAAGGAGGAAGAGAAGGAAAAGGAGGAGGAGTAAAGGGTTAGAGAAAGACTTCCCAGTGGCCTGGGGATCACACTCTCCAGTCAGCTTGGCAGCCTTGTGACAATGGCAGGGAACATGCGCTTGTCTCGTTATGTCTTGCAGTTTTGCAGATGTCAAACGATATTAACTTGGATTCAGAGAAGTTGAATCAACTTCAGAAAGTCATCTACCCACAGCAGGACAATCTGTCTGAGCCACTGAACATCTCCAGGAAAGGTCCCTCAGAGGAATATCTCCAGTCTCAGATCTCTGCCCTCCTGGAGAGACAGTGGCAGATGGCTACCAAGCTCTGCAAGGAATTCCTCACCCACACTTCTGGTAATTTGACTTACATCTGCAGAAAGGCCAGATCAAGCCTGTCACCCTGATCAAAGTCCCCACATATAGCACAGTACTTAGAAGTTGTGTTCTTTAGCAATCCCTTGACCATGTCATTCTAAATGTATGAAGGACAAAGAAATACAGATGTTTCTTTAATACTTCAGAAAGTACATATTTTGGAATCATTTCCAAATGCTATCAGCCAGGATACTTCTCACTTTATCAACCCCTTTGAGATGCTCTGGTTATCATAAGAATACTAAAAGGCTGGGCCTACAAAGAGTATTTCCATTGTCCAACGCCCAGTCAGGGTTACTCCGCTTCCAGAGGGTCCTAGCACAGTATGTTTCAGGACACTTGCACTCAGATCTGTTGTCTGTATGCATGCCTCAGTTTCTAAAGGTTTCTGCAGTCACCCCACAGAATGTGTACTTTTCAGTATAATTTCCTTTTCAGACCACAAGTGCAATCCTTGTCCCAAGACCTGGCAATGGCATGGAAACAGTTGCTATTATTTCACAACCCACGAAGAGAAATCCTGGAGTGACAGCAGAAAGGACTGCACAGACAAGAATGCCACTCTGGTGAAGATTGACAGCTTCAAAGAAAGGGTAAGACTGAGCTTCTTCCCCAGCTATAGAAATTGTCCACACAGTGAAAAATAAATATGTAATGCTTCTTTTTCATGATAGGAAATTAGTGGATTTTGAAAAAGATCTAATAAATGAGTTGAGGAACTGGGTGTGGAACCCAGGACATAGCTTATGCTAAGAAAGTGATCTACTGCTGAGCTATCCCCAGATAATAAATGAACTTAATGAATTTTTAATCTTGCCTCCTCAAACCGGCAGATGGCTTCTCACTTGTTCTGCTCTCTCCCTCCCCCAGGATTTCCTTCAGTCACAACCATCACTCACACTCTCTTTCTTTTGGCTGGGATTGTCCTGGAACTCAACTGTCAGGCACTGGCTGTGGGAAGATGGTTCATCTCCCTCTCTAACCTTGTAAGTATCAATCTGTTGGGGCTGGAAGATCAAGATTTCCTTAGAACTTTGAGAAAAATTATGTAAAATGACAGAATTAGAATCCTAGATATGAAAAAAAGAAGTACACTGCTTGAAAAGAGAGAGAGTTTCAGCAGGGAACACATTGAGAGCTGGTAAGTAATTCCATCTATTTGTCAAGCTGAGAGCAATGCGCTGAACATCATGTGCTGTTTAACTACTTTCCTTATTAAGCATGTATAGCTAATAGTATGCTCAAAGTACTTTGCAAACATAAACCCTTGAAAGATGCACTTTCATATCTCCACTACAAAATAAAAATGTTACCACAGAAAGATTCTCTGACATACCTAAGATTGCCCAGTTCAAACAGGATCAAATCAAGATGGAACATTTTAGATCACCTGTTCATCCACTCAGCTGTTTTATCCCACCCTGCACAACCTTCAAGGGTGGTGTTTGTCATTAGGACACACATTTAAGCATTGACACAAAGTACTCGTCTGAAGGAATTGTTGCCAGTTTCCCACAGAAAGTAAGTGTGAACCACCTGATTAGCTGCTGGATTAGTTTCAGGATGCAGACCACCAGTTAGGTCCCATGCATGTCCTGACAAAATGCATTACTGCAGACTCTCAATGACAGTAGAAGTCAGCATAAAAAATGCTTCAAAGTCTTGCCCAGCCTGATCTTCTGTACTTTTCCAAAGACTCCTAAGAAAGAAGTCCAGACTCACTGGGAGCCAGCAACCCAGGGGCCATGTAGTCTCAGGCTGGACTTGAAGGGGAAGCCAGTGGGTATATGGTGTGAGTTGGGAGATGAAAACTAGTTTTTGTTTTATCTACAAGATGGTACCAAGGGATAAATCCTTATTTTCTCAAGAACAAGTTTTGTTTTAACTTTAATGTTTAAAACTTAGTTTTGTATTTATTGATTTGGGGAGGTCAGGGTTGTATGGTTCCAGGGCACACGAGTAGAGGTGAGAGGCCAACCTTCAAGAATAAGTTCTCTGCTTCCAGTATCTGGGTTGGGGGAATTGAACTCAAATCATGAGGCTTGGTAGCAAGCGCTCTCACCCACTGAGTCATCTCAAAAACACTTTTTTAAAGCAAGGATTGGAAAGATCACTCAGTAGTTAAAAGCATCACCCAGAAATAACTGACAACGACCTGTAACTCCAGCTGCAGGAGATTTGGCGCCCTCTGTGGGCGCCTACACACATGTATATTCTGATCATGGTCTTCCCACCCTCACCTCTCCTCCCAGATTCTCTCCACCTCCCCATGCATCCAACTCTACACCTCTTCTCTCTCTCTTTAGAAAGCAAACAAGCCAATAAAAAATGTGATCAGTGTCAGGCATGGATTCCCTCTGATAGAGTAAGCCTTAAATTCAATCAGATAGTGGCTGGCTACAGCGTTGTGCCTCTATTGCACTAATATTTCATGCAGAATTGAATATATTCTTCTTAAAGAAATATTTTGCTGGGATCACAACTAATCTGGAATTACAGATGTTGATGCTTGTGGGGGTCTTATAATAGTATGGACTTTCCCTCTCAAGGTGACCGAGAACACTTAAGTCTAGTTAAGTTTCATATGTAATAATATTAATCAGTTTAAATCAATTACTTTCCAGATTTAGCTATCAGGAGCATGCCAGGTTCAACAGATCCAGAGGCTGCGCTTATTTTGAAAGAGGGAACATTTACATTTCTCGCTGTAGTGCTGAAATTTTTTGGATTTGTGAGAAGACAGCTTCCCTGGTGAAGATTGAAGATTTGGATTGATCTGACTCGTCTAAGTGTATCAAGAGGAAGGGTCTATTGCAAACACATGTGAGAAAGGAGGAAGCTATGGTATTTGAGTAAAAAACTGAATAAAAAGTAGATGTACTTCAACTTTCCCACAGATGAATTTGCTTTACAAAACATTCTCAACTTCACTGTCTGACCCTCTGACCTACTGTACGCATTACTCGGGTCTTATAATGATCCTGAGTACCCAAGGAGAAACATGTCATTTAAGTTTGTCTCTCAATAATCATGGTGATACTTAGATATTAACCACCAGAGCAGCATGGGCCATGTAAGGGAACGAGTTCCAGGAGAACCCTGTTATAAAGACTGCCCTGTCATACAGGTCTTTCAGGGATTCCAAAGTAAAGGAGCTGGGACAGCAGTGCTATATGACTGAACTACAAATGCTTTACTGTTTTAGAGACTGTCTGTCTGAACCCATTTAAAAAGCTAAGTGTTAGCATCCATGTACAGAGTAACTCTGCTTTGTCTTCCTATGAAGCTACACTACCAGTTATCATAACTGATAGCCTAGATGAAGTAGGATAAATACTGTCTTAAATACTTTTATCAATTATTTAAACTGATAATATTCAAGCTACTTATTTTGCACTCTTGGTATTACCAGAATAATAAATATGTTTATTCTCTTAATAGTAATATGCCATTTCATCTTATTTGCTGTATGTATGAGTATCAGGTATGTGTGTGTGGGTATGAACATACGTGTGGATACTTGTACCTGTGCACATGTGTGGAGATCAGAGAAGCACACCGAATGTATTCCTCTATCACTCCCCACCTTACCTTTGATGCAAAGTCTCTCCCTGAACCTGGAGCTTGTGGATTTTCTTTTCTGCTAGGCTGGAAGCCAGAAATCTCCAGCATCTTCCCATCTCTGCTCACTAGGTGCTGGGCTTAAGGCATGTACTTGACCACACCTGACTTGTTATTGGGGTGCTAGGATCTGAACACAAGTCCTCAGATTTGCTCAGCAAGTACTCAGAACTGCTAAGACATCTTTCCATCACTGCTTCACTTTCTTCAGAAAAATATTAGAATATTATTTGGATACATGTTATCAGAACAATTACTTTTTAAAACTTGCTGAAACAGTTTGCCCACATCCCTGCAAAAGATAAATACTGTAAATCCAGGCATTGGGAATCTTTCTGGAGAAAAATTACTTATTTAAGGTTGTTTAAAAAGATAGGGTTTTGATTTTTCTCTTCAAATAATTATACACCAATTGCAGAGTTGCCATCTAAAAAGAATAATAATTAACTTGTGATACCAATTTGAACAGTGGCCTAAAATTTACTGAAAAAAAAAAAATGGATTGCATTCTGAGTACTGTTAATAGTTGCTTGAAGAGACAACTTCACAATATTACACAGTAGCTTATTATCTTTAAAATGTTAAAATTATGGTATCATTATCATATAATATATATCCAATGGAATTCTAAAATAAGGCAATAAGACTAAGGGTAAATATCTTTTTTTTCTTTTATCATTTTTTATTTTAATTTTAAATAGCTTGTTTTACATGTCAATCCCAGTTCCCTCTCCCTCCCCTCCTCCCGCACTCCCCTTCCCCTCCAGCCTCCCACCCTATTGCCAAATCCTTCCACATAGGGGATGCCTAGAGTCTGTCATTTCACTCTGGGTAGGGTCCAGGCACTCCCCTAAGAGTCCAGGCTGAGAGAGCATCCCTCTTTGTGCTATGGGCACACGATGACTGTTTGTATTCCAGGGATAGACACTGATCCACAGCTCAGGGCCCCATAGGTTGCCCAGGCCTTCTCGCTGACACTCACATTTGGGGGGGTCCAGATCAGTCCCATGCTGGCCTCCCCACTGTCAGTCTGGGGTCTAAGAGCTCTCCCCTGTTCAGATCAGCTGTCTCTGCTGGTTTTGCCAGCCCATTCTTTGCCAATTTGCTCATCACTCCTCTCTCTGTCACTGGGTTCCTTGGGTTCAGTTCAGTGCTTAATTGTGTGTTTGCCTCTGCTTCCATTAATCACTGGATGAAGGCTCCCGGATGGTTATAGACATCAAGTTCATTATCAGGAAGGGGCATTCGAGGTGGTCTCTCCACTATTGCTTAGCTTGCCAATTGGTGTTATCCCTTTAGATCACTCGAGGTCACTCTGGTGCCTGATCTGTCTTCTAAACTATGATTCCCTCTTCCCCCTATTCTACCCCCACCCACTCAACTTCCTGTTCCCCCATGACCTACTCTCTCTTCCTCTTCTCCCCCTCTCTTCTTCCCAGCTCCCACTCCCCCCCCATCCCTCGCTGTGTTCCCCATCCATTCAGAGGATCTTGTCTCAATCCTCTTCTCTTGGGTACTATGCATATATGCATATCTTTTAGGTTCTTTCCTGTTTCCCAGACTCTCTATCAGTGGAAGTGCAGACTGGCACTATCCTGATCCATGTCTAAAATCCATATATGAGTCAGTACATGCCATGTTTGTCTTTTTGCGACTGGGTTACCTCACTCAGGATGATTTCTTCCAGTGCTATCCATTTACCTGCGAATTTCAAGATTCCATTGTTTTTTTCTGCTGAGTAATACTCCATTGTGTAAATGTACCACAATTTCTCCACCCACTCTTCAGTTGAGGGGCATCTAGGTTGCTTCCAGGTTCTGGCTATTACAAATAATGCTGCTATGAACATAGTGGAGCAGATGCCCTTGTTGTATGAATTTGCCTCATTTGGATATATGCCTAAGAGTGGAATTGCTGGGTCTTGTGGTAGATTAATTCCCATTTTCCTGAGGAATCTCCATACTGATTTCCAAAGAGGCTGTACGAGTTGGCACTCCCACCAGCAGTGGAGTAGTGTTCCCCTCTCTCCACATCCTCTCCAGCATAAATTGTCTTTGGTGTTTTTGATTTTAGCCATTCTGACAGGAGTAAGATGGTATCTCAGAGTTGTTTTGATTTGCATTTCCCTGATGGCTAAGGATGTTGAGCACTTTCTTAAGTGTCTCTTGGCCATTTTAGCCTCCTCTATTGAGAATTCTCTGTTTAGTTCTGTACCCCACCTTTTAATTGGATCCTTTGGTGTTTTGGAGACTTGTTTCTTGAGTTCTTTGTAAATTTTGGAGATTAGCCCTCTGTCAGATGTAGGGTAGTGAATATCTTTTCCCATTCTGTGGACTGCCTTTTTGTCTTGTTGACTGTGTCCTTTGCCTTACAGAAGCTTTTTAGTTTCAGGAGGTCCCATTTGTTAATTGTCGATCTCAGTGTCTGTGCCACTGGTATTATGTTTAGGAAGTGGTCTCCTGTACCAACTCGTTGAAGACTATTTCCCACTTTCTCTTCTAAAAGTTTCATTGTGGCTGGATTTATGTTGAGGTCTTTGATCCATTTGGACTTAAGTTTTGTACAAGGCGATAAACATGGATCTATCTACAGTCTTCTGCATACCAGTACCCAGTTATGCCAGCACCATTTGTTGAAGATGCTTTCTCTTTTCCATTGTACAGTTTTAGCTTCTTTGTCAAAAATCAAGTGTTCATAGGTGTGTGGGTTAAAATTAGGGCTTTCAATTCGGTTCCATTGGTCTACCTGCCTATTTTTGTGCCAATACCAAGCTGTTTTCAGGACTATAGCTCTATAATAGAGCTTGAAGTCAGGTATGGTGATGCCTCCTGAAGTTCCTTTATTGTATAGGGTTGTTTTGGCTATCCTGGGCCTTTTGTTTTTCCATATAAAGTTGATTAATGTTCTTTCCAGGTCCTTGAAGAATTGTGATGGAATTTTGATAGGGATTGCATTGAATCTGTAGACTGCTTTTGGCAAGATTGCCATTTTTATTATGTTGATCCTACCAATCCAAGAGCATGGGAGATCTTTCCATTTTCTGGTATCTTCTTTGATTTTTTTCTTTAAAGACACAAAGTTCTTGATATATAGGTCTTTCACTTCCTTGGTTAACATTATCCCCAGATATTTGATGCTGTTTTTGGCTATTGTAAAGGGTGATGTTTCTCTAATTTCTTTCTCAGTCACTTCATCATCTGTATATAATAGGGCCACTGAACTCAAAAAAAAGGGTAAATATCTAATAAGACTACAAACTGAATGTAAACACACATTTTAAAGTACAGGATATTACTTTCATCATAATGTAAGTGCATAAGGCCTACTAATTTTCACTCAGGTCTGAATCAAAAATGAAATATATAACGAAATAGATGCTTTGCTTTTCCATTTCTCATAAGCAGGTTCCTTTCACTCTCTCACACAAAGTATAATTACTCATTAAACATCAAAACTCTGCTCTGACTCCCACACATTTGAGTTTCTCTTTATTCCCATGGGAAAGATGATTTCTCCTGCTTTCCCTCCATTTCTACCGAAAGAATCTGCTATTTATAAACTAATCATCTTTGCTTGTTTTTTTGTTCCCATAAAGAAGTGATAATTTTCTCCTGGTATCTGACTTTTGCACTCATTCAAAAAGAAACTTTGTCTAACCTCACAAAGGCTCTGGATTTTGATAAGGTCAGGCCACTCACCCCAGGCCCCCTGGATCTTGCTGTCACCACATGATCCCCAGTATCCTTTGAAGAAATAAGGGTATCTAGATGCATCCATTCCTGGGGGTCCATTGCCTTTGTGTGTCAGAACACATAGCTGGCATCTGAGACGGGAATTGTTCCCAGGGATTTTTCTTTTGTCTCTTACCCTGTCTCCTGAGAGATGATAGAAAGACAGATGTATGATGGTAGATAGGTGGATGCCGATAGATATTTGTAGACCATGTTGCAGATCTACAGGATCAGATGTCTGGGAAGGTAAGACTGGAAAATATATATATTTGATAAACTCTGCAATGTTTTGTAGGATCACAGCCTGAATAAATGGCCTCAGTACAAATTTCCTGGGTAGACAGGTTGTATATGGCACTTTTTTGTTGCTGTGATTAAGATACCATGACTAAGGCAATTTATAGAAGAAAGGGTTTGCTTGGGCTTATAGTTCCATAGTGATGTGGGTAGACATGGCAAAAAGTAGAAGCTATGGTACCACGGCAGAAAGACGAGAGATCACATCTTTAACTGAAAGTACAACAGAGCACAAAGGACTGGAGGTACAGTGAGGCTTTGTACCTGCAAAGCCCGTGCCCCACTAACATGCTTTGTCCAACAAGGTCACTCCTTACAAACTTCCTCAAACAGTGTCAGCACCTAGGAAGCAAGTGCTCAAATACCTGAGCTTATAGGGGGCAGCCTTGTCCAAACCTCAATACAGATAAAAATACTGGTGTCAGTGTCAGAGTAGATGGCTCTCTTTGAAGCACTAGGAAAAACAATTCTTATTCAGGGAACACTGCACAAGAGGAGGGAGACGGAGAATGGGGGTGTCCTAGGTTTTTTAAATTGCTGTGAAGAGGCACCGTGACCACGGCAACTCTTATAAATGAAAACATTTAACTGAGGTGTCTCGCTTTCAGTTTCAGAGTTTCAGTCCATTATCATCAGGATGGAGAGCATGGTGGCGTGCAGGCTGACGTGGTGCAGGAACTGAGAGTCCTGCATCTTGGCTCAGAAGCAACAAGATGACTGACTGTCACACTGAGTGAAGCTTGAGAAGAGAGACCCCACAGTGACAAACCTTCCTCCAACAAGGCCATACCTCCTAATGGTGCCATTCCCTTTGGGGGCCATTTTCTTTGACATCACCAAAGGAAGCCTGAGGGGATGAGGGACACCAGGAGAACAAGGGCCTCTAAATTAACTGAGCAGAGCTAATATGAACTCACGGAGACTGAAGTGACTAGCACAGGACTTGCACTACCCAGGTCGGCACCAGATCCTCTGTGCAAATATTACAGCTTCCAATTTAGGTTTTTTCCCATTTTTTATTTTTTTGATTTCATTTTATATTCCAACCACAGTTCTCCCTCCCACCCTCCCTCCCCTCCCCGCAAGCTTACCCCCAGTACACTCCTCCACACAGGTAAAGGCTTCCATGAGGAGTCAACATTGTCTGGTACAATAGCTTGGGACAGACCCTCTGACATGCATTAAGACTGAACATGGCTTTCCACCATAGGGAATGTGTTAAAGGACAAGCCAGGTTATCCAGGCCTGTTTTATAAACACTATAAAATAAGTCCAGCATTAAAATAGTCCAATATTACCTTAGAGCCATTGATGTATAGACTGTTCTTAGATGACAACCAATTTAGTGGGGTTGTTTATTTGTTTGTTTGCTTTCCTAGTTGAACGTATAAACTCCTCCCTCTCTACTTGGGGTTCATCATGCTCTTACCCAAGACATGCTTCTATCCATGAGCCCTGATGTGTAATGCTTTGTGTGAACCTGGGTCTGTCTACTTGTTCAGTTTCTTGGCATCTCCTACCTTCAGCAGTTGGTTCTTGTACACTGAGTTTTTCTAGACACAGTTTTAAAGCAAAGGAGATCAAAAGACAAAAAGAAATAATGATAATTTTGGTAAATTTGCCATTGTAACCAAAATATTGTGGGGTTGACATTTAAAAAGTTCATAAAAACAATAGCATAGAATGTAGAACCAGAAGCAAATGTACAAATTTGCAGCCAGTTTAGTTTTGGTAAGAAACTGTGTCATCAGTAAACAATGGTGGGAAAGCTGGGTCTTTATCTGTAGAAGATGAGGTTGAGCTTCTTTCTCTCCCTTTATTCGAATCAATTCCAATGAATTAAGGATACAAATACAAGACTAGGAACTGAAATTACTAAAATAAAGCATAGGAGAAATGGTTCATGAAATTGTTCAGGGCAAAGAATTTTTGGATATGTCCCCAAAAGCACAGGCAAACAAGACAAAATACACAGGTGGAGTTATGTTGAGCTTAAAGACCACCTGTTACGGGAAACAACTGAATGAAAATGACTGCAGAATGGGGGAAATATTTATAAAACACCCATCTGACAGAGAATTATGACCAAGACTGTACAAAGAACTCAAACAATTCAATAATAAAAGAAAGCAAATAATTTGATTAAGAAAGCATCTCATTGATAAATAAATAAAGAAAATGTGATATCGGAGAAAGATAACTCAAAATTATGAGAAGGGAGGGGATATAAAGAAGTTGGCTATGGGAAGAGTTGGGGCAGTGAATGTGTCCAAATACTGTTTGAAATTCTCAAAAAATTACTAAAAATATTTTTTAAAGAAAAGGCTGAGATGGGGGATCACAAGGAGTTTGAAACCAGTCTAGCCTGGGCTATATAAAAAATCTAAGGCAAGCCTTAGCAACATAGTAAAGTCCTATCTTTCAACAAAGCAAGACACCCACCAATAAATAAATAATGAGAAAATACAATATATACACAGAATGAAATATTATTCAACCATAAACATGGAATTTTGACATTTGTAATAGCATGAATTAAAACAGAGACTATTATGTTAAATGAAGTATGCTATGTTAAACTAATCAGTTACAGAAAGGGCAAAAGCCACATGTCCTCATTTACATGTGGAAACTAAAATGTTATCTCATATCAGTAGAGAGCAGAGGAATGGTTATGGAGTCTGGGATGAGTGTAGAGGAAGAAGAATAGATATAGCCATAAGTACTTGGTGCAGTTTACTGAAAAACAGAACCTTTAATAATCAATAGCACATTGGATAACTATGGTTGGTAACAAATTCTATGATTTAAATTACCTAGTAAAGACTTTGAATGTTCCTAGTGTAAATAAATCATAAATATGTGAGGTGATTAATATGACAATTCTTCATTGGATCATCAAACACAGAGATGTCACACTGTGCTCCACGGATGTGTACAACCACTGTGAGTCAAAAAAAGCATATATATGTATGTGATTTTAAAGATCCTTTTTTCCTCTGGTGTGTGTGTGTGTGTGTGTGTGTGTGTATGTGTGTGTGTGTGTGTGTAAAACAAATGATATATACTAAGGAGCTGTCTAGTGACTACCAACTAAGTCTAGCTATTATTTCTAGCACAATGTCCTGTGTGTTGAATGACAGATTCTTGCAGTCCTTCTAGTCGGTACCCTGCCCCCCAGAATGCTCTGTATGGCTCTCACTACTGATGTCTTCTTACATGGAAATGCTCAACATTGTGCTGGTTAGGTTTGTTTGTTTGTTTTGTCATCTTGACAGAAGCCTGGGTCATCTGGGAAGGGAACCTCAGTTGAGAGAATGCCTTCATAAGATTATCCAGTAGAGAAGTCTGTGGGGCATCTTCATGTATAACGTTTGATGTGGAAGGGCCCATCTCACTGGGAAGTGTCCTGGGCAGGTGGTCCTGAAAAGGCAAGTTAGGCAAGTTATGGAGAAAAATCCAGTAAGCTGCACTCTCCATGACTCGGTTTCAGTTCCTATTTGCAAGTTCCTGCTTTGGGTTTTGTAATCAAATCTATAAGGGAAATAAACCATGACCTTTAGGCCATGGTATCTTTACTATAGAAATAGAAAGTAAACTAGGACAACTCTTTATCTCTCTATCTACTGTTTGTTTCAGGAAAACCACCAATGTGGGGAAAGATATTTTTTCATGCAGCCAAGCAGCCACTCATGGGGATAAAAGAGCAGGAGCTAATGACCAGCAGCAGGTGGGAACACACCAGATCAGTCCAGACAATTCCTAGAGCTGGGGCTGCTGCTCATGGGTTATTTTTATATTTCCTGTGTCCACCGTGAGATGGCGGCCAGAAATGAAGTAGACAAAGATATCATTTTTGCCCATTCACATTCCTCATTCTTTATTAGTTGAAAACTATGAAGAAACAAAACAAAACCTGGAAGAACTGATTAAAAGGTCATTATTTCCAGTTAACTAACTCTGTTTCTGAGAAAATCAGCCCTCAGGAGTAAACTCATGTGGGAAATCCTTCACCTCTTAGGTTTGATTCAATACTTTTGTTGGTTTAATTTTTTTCTAAAAAGAGGGGTGAGCACATTTTAATCCACCATGTATATGTTTTTGTATATCAACTGAATACACACACACACACACACACACACACGAGAGAGAGAGAGAGAGAGAGAGAGAGAGAGAGAGAGAGAGAGAGACTTTCTTCAGAAAACCACTTCTGTGCTCTTACACTTGGTCTTTGCTGTCAACTCTTAGAGATAATTTAACTGCTGTAATTATTTGATGGTAATTGGTTTTCAGGGTTTTCCCCCTTGGTTTCAAATAAACAGGAAGACCATGAATCCAAACAAGACAGAAACACACAAGTTTGAGTTTATTCTGGACTATCTAGCAAACTCCTGCCTCAATAAACAAACAAGCAACAAGCTTTATTAGTGTGTATGGTAGCATCATACATGGAAAATGTCAGACACAGAGTGAAGGACACACCTGACCTCACTGTGGTATGAACTGGGTTCTGACAACAAAAAACATTGGTGTGCAGCAGAAATAAAATTAGATCATCATGGAAAGAAATGGCTTGTGTCCCATTTCTGCCAGAAAGGAATTTTGGTAGACAGTAACTAATCCTACTCCTTCTAGTCACACTGTTATGTAACACTCTCTAGAGATGCAGCACTCTCTATCCAGAGCTTTGTATAGAAGGTCCACTGTGGGACATATATCATCAAAAATTAGTAGACATTAAACATTAGAAACAAGTCTTCATAATAATTAGTGGTTACTTTCTTTACACAAATGTAGAATTTCCTTCATTGTTCTCCAAAGCAGTGAGTCTTTTAGTTTCATCTAGTATCATTTTCTCCATGAAAAATAATCTATGATTTCCATTTTAGAAAACTCTAGGATGACAAGCACTCTAACATATTCCTAACTCCTTTATGGCCACAAGACATCCAGTTAAAGGACATTAGGTATATAGTTTTTCATGACAGTATTTTCTTAACCAAGTTAGAGATCTGATTTTTATTATACTTTGGATTTTACTCCAAGATGAAGTGATTGTTGAACATAAGCCAGAAAATGGTTTTAACTTAGTAAATCAAATATTTCTATTAACTTATTAAATCTTTATACTAAAGGCCTGTCTTCAAAGCCTCATTAATTACATCAAAAACAGGACTGGAAAAATAACTAAAAGTTAAGAGAGCTTTCTGTAGAATCGTGAGAACCACATGTGACCCTCCATCCCCCAATTATCAAGCCAGGCCTGCCACACAGTAAGGGAGAAAGTACATTATCTCTGATGCCCTCTTCTGGCCTCCATCTGCACACATACACAAGGGAATTTAAAGAGAGAAAAAAATAATATAAGGATAGTTTTGTTATTTCACTTCGTAATTCATTATTTCCATATTTCATATTCTGAGAGCCCTTGGAATTTGCTCTTATTAAACCTGACCATGCTTCAGAAATGGCGCTTAACTTTTATAGACATTCTTTCCATTGGATTGCATTCATTTGAAACTTATACTTTTACAGTGTATGGTGTTCAAAGGACACAAAGTATATTAAGACTTTTACTTTAGTGGACTATCATTTAAATTGTGGAGTTCTACAGTTCTTTCTGTCTTTCTTCCTTTTTTTTTTTTTTTTTTTTGACACAGGCCGGGTCTCATGTATTCTTTTTTTTTTTTTTTATTTTCCAGTTTAAATTTAGATAAGAAACGAGGTTGCTTCACAAGTCAGTTCCAGGTCCCTCTCCCTTTCCCTCCCCTCCTCCCATGCCCTCCCCCCAACCCCCCCCCGTTATCCCCTCATTCCCCCAGGGAGGGTGAGGCCCTCCATGGGGGTGTCCATAGTCTGTCATTTCATATAGGGCAGGGCCTAGACCTTCCCCAAGAGTTCAGGGTGAGAGTGCACCTCACATTGTTCTATGGGAGTCCAAAATCCGTGTGTATACTTGGGATGGGTACTGATCTGCTGCCCAAGGCTCAATAGATTCCCTAGGCCTCCTCACTGACACCCAGATTCAGGGGGTCTTGATCCCATGCTGGATTCCCAGGCTGATGCCTGGGATTCAAGAGTTAACCTTTGTCTGGTCAGCTGTTTCTGGGGGTTAAACCAGCCCAGTCTTAATCCCTTTGGTCATCAGTCCTCCCTCTCTGTTACTGGCTTTCTTGAGTTCAGCTCAGTACTTAACCGTGGGAGTCTACAGTTCTACAGTTCTTTCTTTCTTCCTTCCCTTTTTTTTTTTTTTTTTGACACAGGCCAGGTCTCATGTATTCTTGAAGTCACTATATAGGTGAAGATTAAAATGAACTTCTAATCCTCCTGCCTGCACTTTCAGAATTCTAGGATCACAGGCTGCCTTAGTTTGTTTTCTGTTGCTTTCTGTAGGCCTAGTGATGCTGCTGTAATGTATTTTCTCTTGCATACCCAAAGGAGGCTCCATTTAAAGATGCAAGTCAAATCCATATAACTATTAAATATGGCTTCCCAAAACTGTGTGGGCTTTTGGGAAAATCTCTAAAGTTCCTAAATGCAACTGGGAGACTGTAGGTGTCTGTGAAACCAAGTGAAATCTAATAGCAAACCCAAATATTCTGAAGGAAAAGAGCCACCTGTAAAATGAGGGGACACAGGCTGAGGGGACCAGTAAAGGTTCCTACTTGCTAGGTGGGGGGCGGGGCGGGGCGGGGCGGGGCGGGGCGGTCTCACTGTGTAGCTGAGGCTGGTGCACAACTCAGCTGTCCTGCATCAGCCTCCTGAGTGCTGAGACTATAGATATCGCACACCGCGCCTCATTAAGTATCGTTCAGTGCCTTCCATAGCGGGTAGGATTAGATGGGAGTGGCGTGGCGGCTGCTGCATGTGAAGACACGTCTTCTATTTCTAGCAGGGTTAGACCTATGTAGTGGTTTTCCAGCAAAAGGGTCCCTAATCCCGCAGCTCCCTTTCATAAAACACCAGGGGAAAGTTCTTCCATACCACCACGAGGCGGCAGTATCCCTTCAGGGATAAAACTGGTTCCTCCCACCCTCAGGAAGGTTTTCTTGGTTGGCATTCGGTATTGGGCATGATATTTTACTCTTTCGGCTTTTTTGCTCTTGGGGTCGAGGGGCACAACCCACCTCCCCAGTAAATAACACACAGAGACTTGTTCTTCGTTATGACAACCCATCCTTAGCTTGGCTTATTTTTTGCCTGCTTAAGTTATCCCATCTACCATTTCCCTCGGGGCTTTTGTCTTTCTTATTCTGTATAACTTACTTTTCTTCTTACTCCGTGGCTGGCTGGGTGGCTCGCCCCTGACGTCCTCCAATTCTTGTTCTCTTCTGCTTTCTCTTCCTCAGTTGTCGTTGTCTGCCTGCCAGCCCTGCCTATCCTTGCTCCTGTCTCTGTATTGGCCATTCAGCGATTTATTAAACCACCAGGTGTTTTAGATAGGCAAAGAATCACAGCTTCACAGAGTTAAACAAATGCAGCATAAACAAAAGTCACACGCTTTAAAATAATATTCTACCAGAATTCTGGGTGTCCAGATTCTATTCTGGGACATATCTTCTAACAGCTATTCATTCCTGATAGTTGTTCAGCTGCTGGCACTAGAAATTGCTTTAGGGAACAAACTTAAGAATAGAATTCAAAACTTCTGGATTCAAAAGTCTATATTTAAAAGTACTAAGATTCAGTTCCACTGCTGCCAGATGTATTGATAGAACACTACACACACCAGCAAATGCTTATAGATTATTGTTACCTGGAACCAAGTGACAATAGTCTCTTAGATTTCAGAAGACAAAAACATGTTACAGTAGTAGAGCATTAGGGTACGTATAGAGAAATAAATAACTTGACGTTTGCCGGTGTCCTCTAAAGTTTGCAGACCTTGCAGAAATTAATGGCTGAGGGAAAGCTTTGATTTTTCTCCCAGTGCTCATGTCAAAGTCACTCCTGTGTTCTCTAGCTCAAGAGTTGGATTCCAGAAAAATAAACTTTAACATTGGAACCCCCAAGCTATTGATTTATAATTTAAGACAGCTTTACAACCTTCAGAGACTTTTCCAAGGGACCCTAACCAAGAATGAGCCTGATGGAACTTGTATAAGACACAGATAAAGCTGAAGACCAGAGCCCCCGGTACCCTGACCCTGTTATGTAATACTCCCAAATCTCTGAAACTTCATTCTCCTTTTTTATTTTTTCTGAAGGCAGATATACTTTGTTTTGCTTTTCTTACTATGGAAACACACCTCTATTGTGGATTCCATGGCTCTTGATAATCATCAGTATACATCACAGTACTACCAATGTGACAGGATCTAGAACCGCCTAGGAGATAGCCTCTGAGTGGGCCAGTTTAGGATAATATACATTAGGTTACTTGAACTGGAGAGACATATTTTAACTGTGGGAGACACCATTTC